GCAAGTAAGTGATTTGGTGTGGGATTAAGTTTGAGAGGCTGGGCTGGGCTGGTGGGATCCATGCATATGGTAATGTTCACCAGCTGGAAATTCAGGCCTAGATCGTGTGAGCAATTGAGGCTAGAAGAGTGGACTTAAGATGTCTATCAATGTAAGTGGTACGGAGATCAAAGAAAAAGATGGAATTGTTCAGGTATAGTACAAGGACTTGCTTGAGAACTACCATCCTTACACGAATTTAAAATGAGAAAAAATATCAGCACTTTAACAAACTCAAAATTAATGCCCAGTTTTATTTTCAAAATGGAAACCCTTACAGGCTTCTAAGAACACCTGTTAATGCATCAGGATTCCCACAGTTTTTATGTGGCTGTCTAGGTGTCTGTTGTCTAGATGCTGTTGTCTCTAACAGTTGTATGTGTGGTGGAAGCAATGGCAGGTCTCATCACAAAACCCAAGGGTTGACTTTTGTGTCCAGAACTTCCCAGCCACCTGAACTGATCTTCAAAATACTATGAAGCAATTAGAATCTGAAGCTCAGATCAAAGCATACATTGTATGTGAAAGTGCTGTACAAACTAAGAAATTATTAGCATAAGAATATCAGCCTAGCATATTGCCTAGCATAGTAGAAACGAAAGCTATTTCTTAACAGATGCAGAATCTCCATTATTAGGAAGGAAGCAGCTTCAGGCAACTGCCTCTGTACTTCCCACACTGGCTATCACAGTTGTCTGTACAGCAACAGATCATCAGAAATGGAATATATAAACTTTAGTGTCAGGTTTTGTTTTATTCTGCACCTTAGTCTGGGCATTGGAGTGGGAAGAAAACCTGATGGAATATACATTATTATTTTGAGGGGTGCCTGGCTGGCTCAGTAGATACAGCCTGTGACTCTTGATTTCAAGGTCATGAGTTCAAGTCCCATGTTGGGTACAGAGATTACTTAAAAAAAAAAAAACTCACTTTACAAAAGAAAAAAAAAGAAGAAATTATTACTGTAAACATTTTTGTTCTTCTGTTCTCAAGCCAATGTCTCAAGTCTGCTAGATACCTGTGGGCATTGGTTGGTTCTGCTGGTTGCATAAACTACCAAAGTTCTGAGACAAGCACAAATGATTAGACCAGAGCTAAACTCCAGCACAGGAAAAAGACTCTTTGCAGAAGGCTCCAGAGCAAGAAAAAGGTGAATGCTTGCCTCTGTGATCTGATCCAAGAAACCGAATTTCCTAGGAGCAACCATAGGGCTCTGCCTCACAAAAGTGATCCTTAGTCACTCATTGCAAAGGGAAGGACGTTGAAGTTTCATGGAAACCCTTGTTTCCCGTTCAGGTTATGCAGAATAGGATGCCTCTCCCCACACCATGGCGGAACATCTTCCTGACCTGATGCCAAAGCTCATCCCCAGTTAGGTCCCTGAAGGGCAGGCTTTGGATGGCCTCCAGAGAAGGACCAGTTCCTCTCTTCTCAGCACTTGGGCTCCCACCCCACCCTATCCAGTTTTAAAGGCCTGTTTTTAAAAAGTTATTTCCTAGAAGAAAGCCTTGTGCCTAAGGTCATACAGGCTCTGAAGCAGCCTCCATCATGTAGTCCAGGATGGGGAATCCAGAATTTGGAAACAAATCCAGAATTTGCAGGTCCCAGTGCCCCTGATGAACTGTTTGTGTTATAATCTTTCAATTTGTTTTCTCTTGACAACTCTCTGAAAGGACTGCAGGGATTGAATGAGACAATGGAACCTAAAAGCACCTTAGAAATTGTTATGGCGCAAATGTGGTTTCCCTGAATGCTCCCTGAGTGCTATGACAGATTACCGTGGCCCATCTGGCAGAGAAAGATAGAAAAGCCTGTGCTTCTGGCTGGATAGGGCTAGTTATGGAAGAGACTTTTGCTACTGGCTGGCACAATTTCCAAGTGGGTCCTGAAGCCTGGTTCATGTTTCTCCTGGAGCCAAAGGCTAATTTGAATTACATTCCAGTTCACCAGCTGACATGATTCTAGTAAGAGGTTTCAGAACTCAGAAACTGGTTAATAATTAAAAAGAAAAAAAACAAAACAAAAACAAAAACAGCTCTCTGAAGTTCCTCTTCCTGTCTCCACACCTTGGCATGTGCAGTTCCTCAGAATTTTCACCCTGCCCTGTGAGTTCCCTCCTCTTCATCCTACAAACCACACCTCAAATTCCATTTCTTCTCAAGGAAACCTTCCTTGACTCTCCAGACAAGGTTTCACTCATAAAGCACCTTCTAGCTCTCCTACATACCACTCAGTCCCATTGTGATTAGAACTACGGAAGTCCTCCCCATTGGGAATATAAGTCCCAGGAGGGCAGGGTTCATGTCTCTGGATTCTTCTACATCTTAGCGCCTTGGATACAGACAGTAAAACATGTTGAATGAGGCCACAGCTTTGGGTTTCTTTAATCTTGTTAAGAGCTTTGTGGCAATGAAAATAAAATATATAAAGAAAACTAATTTAGTCCTGGAAGAAAAGGTTCTGGATGGAGGAATGCTTCTTTTGGCAGTTTCCTCCAATAAAAAGAATTTATGGGCTTAATTAAATCATCAAGATCTTTTTCAGAGGTACAGGAATGGCCAAGGATCAAGCTTGCTCTGAATTATTCACTTTTTTCAAGTGGAGCTGCTCTCCTGGGAAGAGTAGTACATGTCAAGGAGGAAATCAGCACTGCTACTTTCGCAAATAGACAACTGTCCTTTCTTTTTCTTTGATTCTCAGGGCCCAGGAGAGTTTCTAGGTGTGAAACTATCTTGGAAAAACCATAAAGAAGATGAAGTTCTTCTATATCAACCTCACTTTTCCCTCAATTGTTTCTATTTGTTTTTCTAATGGCCTTCCCATCCTTGCCTTAAATTTAAATCAATGTTCAGACTCATCTCATAGAAGTATCATTTTTACCTTATCCCAACATTGAGAAAAAAAGGTTTTCTTCTCCCGTATGTAAGCAGGACTTGAGAGAGCAGCCACCAAATCTGTGTGTATTTACACATAGGAATGTGTGTGGAATGCCTTTTACAATCACATTTGCTTATTATCCTCCTTACCATGGCCTACTTAGCCAAGTGTTGGTGGATTTAGGCTGTTTTAAAAACATACAAACAAGAAACAGAGCCTGTGTTTTACAAAATGCAAGGACAAGATGAAGAAGCCTCAAGTAAGAGTCAACGTCTCTGAAATCTGCATACTAATAATAAATGTTAGTATAGAAAAACCAGTGATGGGGGGAGGGGGGAGGAGAGAGAGAGAGAGAGAGAGAGAGAGAGAGAGAGAGAGAGAGAGAGAGAGATGGTATCTTATAGCTAGCTATGAAGGGCTGCCCCGACTCTACCTCCTGGGTCCAGAAACAGCAGGCCCAGCATATTGAATCATCAGGCAAATGGCCAAAACTACGATTTCCTCATGGCCCACTCTCACAACTTAACTTTGACCCTTTCCAATTTTCACCAGTTCCTATCAGGGTGCCTACGAGGATCTTTGACTCCAGGGATACTTTCTTTTACGATCTTTTAATGACTCATTAGTCACTGGGGCTTTGGCAATTTCTGCAGGAAGCAGGTTTCATTTCTTCCCTGAAAATGAAGAGGCAACCCAGGAGGTTGTTAAACAAATTCTATTCAGTAGCTGGAAAAGTGAATTTCCTGTGGAATGACAGGAATTACATAGAAGCAAGCAATTTTATTTTCCTCAAATGTAGCAATAATTTTAATCTGTACATACATAAAACAAACAGTGCAATTATAAAACCTTGAAGGTGACATGCATATCTTAAGGTGCAGCTGGGATGGGGAGGTTGTTATTAGCATCTCCAATTTTCCTTACCGCTTTTTAAAACTAGTTCCTTATGCAAAAGCATTGAGTCAGGAAACTTCATCTGGAATGCTGAAGTTAAAGGTGAACTTCCTGAAGTCTGCACATCTAAGTATCACAAACAAAACAGAAATGACCTCCTAGAGCAGTTTGGTAAGGACTAGAGTAATATGGCTGGGCGTTCAAGCTGGGAATGAATGAGATCAGGGATGCATTTTTCTGAAAAACTAAAAGAGATAATGTTTGTAACTGAGTGTCCTATTTCTGTTTCATAGTTGCTACCCATGTGAGCCCTTCCAGCAATCTTTTTATTCGGTATAGTTTCTGAGTAGATGCTGTTCAATGGAGTTATTGGTAACTAAGGGTGGTGAGATGCACAAAGGAGGACCTGGGAGAATGGCTTCTTCCTTGGTGTCCAAGTCCACGCTCCTCTTCGCTGTTAGTTCTTATGGCCTTTGCTCTGCCGTGGAAGCAGAGGTAGCTGGTGCACGATGTCAGATGCTGTGTCATCATTCACAGGCCCGGGGGAGGGGGCAGGTAAAGGCGAGTGATGGGGGTCTACCTTTGCTTCTTCCACAAGACCCTTCTCAAGCTTTCCTGGCCTTGCAGTGGAACTTCTAGAACTAGAGGCAGTTCACTGGGTCCTTGACTCAGAGGCCAGGATGAGACAAGACGTGGCAGAGTGACAAGACACAAAGGGAAAATACGTATCAATTAGCCTCAGAGTAGGATAGAGAAATTTCTATTTGCATGGATGAAAATTCAAATCCCCAAAGTCAATCTAAAACAAATGAAAATTTTCTTTGAGTACTAATTTTTTTTCTGTACAAGTAGCCTGTGCACTTCTGGTGTTAATTCCTTGCACTGTCTCAAGGTAGGTGATCCCAGGGACACTCTAGGGCAGTATGCTCTAGCTCATCTTGAACAGCTTTTTCTGGCAGTGGCATTTTGATTTGAACCGCAAAGTAAATCCATACATGGCATCACAGTTAGTAAAATAATGAAATATCACTAGTCAAATGTAATTGCAATTCAATCAATGATATATTCACACACAAGTTTAGAAAAATCAAGAGTATGATAATAAAACCATAAAATTAAACAGAAGGAAATCAATTTCTACAAGAAATCAAATATATTTACAGTGAGATTTAAAGGGAAAAATAAGCTACTTGGATCATAAATTTAATTTTATTTTAAATAACTTTAGCTACCTTAGCTGTTAATACAATAAAAGCAGAAAGAACAGGCTGCCTTTTTTTTTCCAGATTTAATCAGAAAATTTTATCTACAATAATTGACAGAACTTGCTTCTTGTCCTTTACCCATCTCATCAAAAATTATTGCATTTTCCCCCAAACTGTATTTTTTGGATTCCTCTGTGAATATACTCATTTCGTCCTCGTTCCTGGAGGCATCTTGGTTTAAATCCATCTTTAAAAAAAGGAGAAGGGGTACATATGGGAGGCAAAATATTCTCTTGAAGCCAACAGATATAGAGTTGCTAGAAGAAGCTGATTGTACACACAAGCTGCCTGGGGTCGGGAAGGGGAGGGCTGTTGATTTAGACACACGTGACAGCCTTTGGTGGACGGGCACAGGCAAAGCCCCACTGGGCCCTTCTTCCTTGTCAGGATCAGGAGTGAGCCAGCAGAGGTGGAGCTTCATCTTCCCCTTGGAACTTGTCGTTTTGGTTCTCCTCCAAAAGCCTTCATCCAGATAAGAAGCCAATGACTGATTACAAAAATAAGAATAATTAAATTTGGCTCAAGAAATAGATTGTCCAACTGTTCTGCCTTGTTATTTTTTTCCAATATCCAAGGCCTTTACAAAGAAAGAAACAAAAACACCTCTCAATCTTCCAACAAAAGTGAATTCCTTTTTTTTTTTTTTGCTCCAAATGCTACGACCTGAAGAATGGCTGCAGATTGAGATATCAAAAATCTCAGAAAAATATATAATATATTTGTATATCTCTGTATGTCTATTATTTAAATTTCACATTCCTTTAAAAGTGGTTATTCAGTCAGTAGCTGCTGAAGGAGGCTCTTCTGTTGGGCCTGGGGGGTCTGTGGTCCTGCCGTGGGTTTTTGAGTTCCCAGTGGACCAGGCTGGTTCAGGTAAGGGTCCCCGCCTACCAGATTCACTGTACACTGGACATCAGCAAACACCTGAACCTGCTGCACCTGCTGGAACACAAATAAAAGATGTGTTTAGACAGAAGGGTCTGCCCCCCCGGCTTATGAGTGGGTACTACTTGAAGTGGAAACTCACTAGAGCATTCCTCTAGTCTGTAGTCACCACAGAGAAGAACTCTTCTGTCTTCTTGTCCTACAAAAAGAAAATCGCTGCACTCATTTTGCTCAGGGTTCTGGAAAGTTCACACTTTAAAAATAAAATCAAAATTGGAATGGTCAAGCCTCCTACAGGGTTGCCATCAATAATGAAAATGAGCGTCACTGCTAATATTGCCAAGATTGGGAAAAGCCCAGTTTCAGAGTCTGGGTGTCTGGTGGTGGGTTTAAAAATATATATGTGTGTATATATTCTATATATTATTTGGAAACTGGTTACAAAAGCATTCTATGGATGACTTTAGTAGGATAAAAAAAAAAAAAAACAACTTTATGATGTTAGAAAATTAAGGGCTTTAACCCAGTATTAGCAAAACAAAAACCACCACAACTCAGTAACAGGACATTAGCATTACTAAAGTCAATGTCCAGAAGATTTGCGTAATATCTAAATATACTATTACATAGTTCTTACATATTGCCTTTAGAATTACAGCAAAATATTAGTAGAACAATTTTATATTTAACTTCTTTTTCCTGATAGACAATTCATTTAAACACATGAGCTAAAAATAACAGTAAATTACTAGCTGAGAACAGTGTGAATTTTCCCTTTAGCTACTTCCAGTAATAATACACGTATTCCTTAAAAATATCTAACGTTGTATAATTCTAGCATTTTCTACTGGGAAAACAAAGCCAGAAGTTAGTTTTTACAACCATCCTTATTAAAAAGTCATTTGTAGAACTGATTCAAGCCAGTATCACACTTGTGAATGTTCCAGACCAAGAATGGAGATGCCTCCCTAAGGCATCCAAGTGCATCTATTAGTGTCTCAATTGTTTGGCAAACTTGTGCTTAGTGTTTCACAGGTTCATGAAGTATTTTAGATTAGTGATGCATTTTTTGGTCATTCATCACTAATTTATGTCAATTACACTCAGCCTTCCTGAAAACGTTTCTATCCTAATTGAATAAAAGTTGTTTTCATCGACCTTTGTTGACCTCATGTCAAAATCTCAACCTCCAGCTGCTGTATCAGTCCAGCCCCCAATGTCTTCCCCTCTTGATCCATCTATACCTCCACTCTATGCTCACTCAGAGAAGACAGCCTCTGAGCTGAGTCTTCTTAGCCTGCTGGATTAACCTCTAGTTAGATGTGCATCATTTTTCTCCTTATCCTCTTCTTTGCCTGATTTCCCAAGTTTTGCTTCTGGATCCCACAAGATACCATTTGTTTTCTTCTTTCTTTGGGCTTTTTCTTGTGCATCTAATATGCACCAACTCTGAGTCTATCCACTAGCTAGCCCTGTGTCCTCCCCTCTCCTTTGTTTCTAACTTCTTCCTATTCTTTTCCTTCTGGAGCTCCAACCCTGACCTTTCTCTCCAGGTCAACCATCCCCCTACTAAGCCTTCTTCCTGCTTCTCTAGATTCTCTTCTTTTCTGGTTCTATTGGTCTTGCCTCTTCCCTGCCTTTGTTCTCCAAATACAGGGAGTCCTAAGTCCTCCTCAAGCCATCCTCTCTTGGTTCTTTTCCTTCTCCTTTTCTGTACACCTGTCTCTGTATTTCTAATAAACTCACTCCCCAGCTTCCATTTGGCAAATACAAAAGCACTGGAGCAGAGATGGCATGATGGACTAAGATTCTGCCACTGAAACTTGGCATGAGCACAAGCGGTAGTGCTTTCAGGCAATGACTGATTAAAAAAAACTGCATGTAAAATTCCACATTTATGTGTTTCAACATAGGAAGTATTGGGTCAGAGCACAAGGTATTTCTGTCCCCAAACACTTAAAAACATTTGTAATAAAGGCATGACCAAGCGAACTAGAGAGAAAATTTTGCTCCTTTAAAAAGAACGTTTTTAAGATAGTCTATTTTGAAAATTAAAAAAAAAAATGGAAAAGAACCAAACTTCAGTCATTTTGAACTGCTTCCTAAAAACAGGGTGCCTCATGCTAGACCTCACAGGACTTCAGATACTGCCACACTTTCACAGACAGGCAAAGCAAGATGCATACACATCCTACGATTTGCCAGGTGAAAGGAGCGGAATCTTCAACCTTGCAAAATTTCCGGCAGAGTTTTTACATCAATTCAAATGCTCTCTCAGAGATCAAGAACTTTAAAACTTGGTTGTTTAGTTTTAATTAATTTGCCGAGCTGCCAGTTATATGTCTCCCTGCAGGAGTAAGACTTTGAAAACCTTCTAATGAAGACTTCATTTCCCCAATCACAAAATCCCCTCTTCACCCTCCTGGGAATCAGATTTGACTATGGAAACAGCTCCTAACTGGTCTTTCTCAGCCTGAGGCGGCTGCCCACTGCATGTCCTGTCCTTTTTCTCCCTCAAGATGAAGCCTGAGCTGGTGCTTATATCATTGCTCCCCCTGAGGGTGACTCAATCTTGTAGAACTCAATCCAAACCCCTGAGTTTAGCATTCAAGGCTCCCAGAAATCTGTCCCAATCTATCTTACCAATTTTAATTCCTATAAAATCTTCTTATAAACCCTTTACCTTCAGTGGATTTGGTTTCCCAGGACCATGCTAAGATATTACTGTTTCCTTGTCTCTGGAGCATCTACTTCTAGTCCCCTACACTTCTAAGCTTGCTCCCTCCTCCAGCCTCTGACACTTTTTCCTTTACCTTGCCTTGCTAACTCTCCCCAAGGCCCAGTTCAGCACTTGTGTAAATGTTCTTCTGACCCTCACAGCATTTTCTCCTTTCTTCTAACACTGATGGTTCTTGTTACCTGTGACATAAATTTGGGTTTGCCTTCTTTTGGTTATGTGACAATTCACATGTGTATGTCTACACGTTTTATCTTTTAATGGGCCCTAAGTGGTATGGCAGAAAGAGCATGAACTTCGGTGTTACAAATACCTGGCTTGAACCTCAGCTCTGCCCCTTTCTAGCTTTGTGAATCGTGTGTGTAGTTAAATCTCTTCAGGTTCTGTTTCTTCATCTGTGAACAAAAGGAATACTATTTCCTTCCGAGGGTCATCGTGAGGCTTATGTGAGATAAAGTGGACAGTGCTTAGTGCAGTGCCAGACAAATCATAAGCATTTCACAAATGAAACTTCCTTTCCTCACCTCTACCCACAGTTCACCTAAAGGGCAAACATGTCTTGTGTTTCTTTGTATCTCCACCTTACCATAATGCCTGTACAGTATCTTAAAAATACATATTTATTAAGAGACTAAAGACTAAATCAGTTACTGAAGTGAACTAAAACATCCAAAATCTCTAACCTTTGGTTAATATAGGAAAGTGGCCATCTTCGCTATTTGTATTGCTTTGAAATGAACTTCGAAAATGAGGCAGACTACACAGCAGGCACTCTATTTTGTCTGAATTTACTGAGATCTTTTGAGGTACTCTGATTACATGTGAGTTTTAGAATTGTGCTTATTTACAATATAACAATCAGTGGCCCACCGTTTGTGATCTTTTTATCCTGTTTAACCACTGGATTAAATCTTCTGAAAACTTATCTCATTTAACCCTCTCAACAATCCTATTAGCAGGTATCTTGTTAGTTCTGTTGGTTAAATAGCAGCTCAGGAAAGTTCCCTAACATGCCCAGGAGGACACCACTAAGAAGAATAGAGCCAGGACTCACACCCAGGTCTGACTCCCAAGGTCAGGCTCCTATCCATGATGCTAAACAAAGTTTCCTGTGTATCTTGAGTACATTTGGCAGCTCTGGGTTTAGAATTTTCTTACTGACCTGGGTTCCATCTGTTTCTGTTTTGAGAAGGTCAGTGGATGAGAGCTGGTTGCAGTAGAGGCCTGTGTGTCTCAGTGCTGGATCATTTATCTATTAAAGATAAGTACAAGACCAAATTACATGCTAGCTGTTTAAAAGTTGAAGATCAAATTTTTCGATGAAAATAATCTCACTGACAGAAAATAGGGATGCAGCAGAAATAAAAAGCTTAGCAATTTACTATGTTGTTATAAGTCAGGACAGTGGTTCCCTTCAGAGGGGATGAAAAGGGATGATGTGGAAGGGAGCATGAGGAGAACCTTTAGGGTACTGCTGATAATGTTTCTTGATCTGAATGGTAGCTTTAAAGATGTGCTGAGTTTATGAAAATTCATGGAGTTGTATATTTTTCTGTATATTCTTATATGATACCTGAATAAAAAGTTAAATTCACAGATACAAAAGTTAATCAGCAAATGACTTTTACTTCTTATCCAGGTATAGTAATAGAAATCAGATTTATCCTCTGCCTGAATTGACAAAAAAAAAAAAACTGGATAAAATGAAGGCACTCAAGACATTGGACAAACCCAGTGAAGAAAAGCCGTCCCTAGGAGCTGGGAAACAACTGAGGTAAGTCCTACACTTGCCCCAGCTACTGTCTACAGAGACTTTCCAGGCTGCAGCCACTGTGTGGACTAGGAACTCAGGTAGAGGGCCCTGTAGACTCCCTGAGTTGAGATGATGCAGCTGGAAGTCTGAGATGGTCACTGCAGCTGGAATTCACAGGAGAATTCCAGAATATCAGAGAAGAGGGGCAGCTACTCAGAAAGCAAGCTCTGAAGATCTGCAGAGGATCCCCTTGAGTCTGCAGCTTAGTACTGATCTGCTCATGGATTTTAGGGAACAACCCAAAGCAGAGCAAAGAGTCACCAAAAAGATGTTGATGGAATAATTTCCAAAGATTACACAAAGCTGGGAGTAAATCCTGGTCCCACTGGCCAGAATGGGAAACATCATAATTCATATAGTATCAAGTAGCATCTTAGAAAGGCTTTGCCTCAGTAGAAAAGTGAAATGAACCTGATACTAAAAGGATCAAACTATTTCAAGTAACCAAACCATTTCCCAGAATAAAGCTCAAGAATGTACGAATATCAACAAGGTAAAATTCACATGTTTGGCACCCAATAAAAGATTACCACTCCATGCACATTAGCAGAAAAATATGATCCATAATGAAAAGTCAATCAATTGAAATCAACCCCCAAATGATGCAGATATTAAGACAGTTATTATAATAACCATATTCCAAATGCTCAAGAAGATAAGGGAAGATTAAATGTGTTAGAGGTATGGAAGATCTAAGAGGTCCAAATTGAACTTGTAGAGAGGAAAACAGAATACCTGAGAAGAAAAATACACCGGATGAAATGAACAGATCAGACATTGCAAAAAGAAAGAAAGAAAGAAAGAAAGAAAGAAAGAAAGAAAAGAAAGAAAGAAAGAAAGAAAGAAAGAAAGAAAGAAAGAAAGAAAGAAAGAAGGAAGTTAGTGAACCTAAGGCTATAGCAATAGAAACTATCCAAAAAGAAACACACAGAGAAAAAAAAGATTGATCTTGTGCCCCTCCCCCAACACCCCCAAACCCAGAGAATCAGGGAGCTGGTGGACAAGTTCAAGTGGCCAACTATGTACATGTAATAAAATATGTGGGTGCATGCGTGTGTGTGTACATGCATAATTAGGAGCTTCTGAAGGAAAGGTGGGTGGTAACAGAAAAAATATCTGAAGAAACAATGGCCAAATATTTTTCCAAATTTGATAAAAATTATACATCCATAAATCAAAAAGCTCACTGAACTCCAAGCACAAGAACCATGAAAACAATCACTAAGGTATGTCGTAATCAAATTGCCTAAAACCAGTGACAAAGAGAATAGTCTTTTTTAAAGGCAGCCAGAGGAAGAAAAATCAATCATGTACAGAGGAACGAAGAGAAAATGCCAGCAGATAACTCATCAGAAATACTGCAGTGGAGCAACATCTCTAAAGTACTGAAAGGTAAACTAAAGCTAACTTAGAATTCAGGGGAAACAAAAATTCCAAAGATGAAGGTGAAACAAAAACTCTTTCAGACATACAAAAGCTGAAATAATTCAGCAGCAGCAGACTACAAGAAATGCTAAATGAAGACCTTCAGGCAGAAGGAAAGTGATACCAAGCTAGAAATTGGGATGAAGGAATGAAGGAATGGAAATGAAGGAATGAAGACCACTGGAAATCACTACATGGGTAAATATAAAAGTTCTTCTTTAAATTAAAAAATATATACACACACACACACACACACACATATATAATTGTTTAAAAGTATGTAGGGTACATGACAAATGTAGACATGATATATATGGTAACAACAGCACAGGAGGGAGAAATGGAAGTGAATAGCTGTGAGGTTCTTCTACACAAGGTGGTATCATCAGAGCACTTCAGGGCACATGAAGATGAGTTAAAGATGTATGCTATAAACTCTGAAGCAACCACTAAAATAACACAATGGAGTTATATATAGTTAATAAGTTAACAAAGGAGATAAATTAAAATGTTCAATTAAATCAAAGGAAGGCAAGAGATGGCACAAGGATAAAACAGAAAAGATGAGACATTTAAATTCAACCATATCAATAATCACATTAAATGGGTGTGGACTGTCAAAATGAATAAGAAAGTAAAACCCAACTATATAAGAAATATGCTTTAAGTGTAATATTCTTTAATTCACTATAATTTTGATTATTTTAACCTACTGGAGATAGTGAAAAATTCTGATAACTGAATAATAAGAACAAGGACAAGAAATAACACTATTTAGGTCTTCTATTTTGCTATAAGAAACCAATCACTAGGTTGTTGATTTTTTTCCCTGCTAAACTCCTAAGGGACTTATTATGTAATATCTGGGGAATTGAAAGTTTTCCAAAAAAAATTCACACCAAAAAGGCATTCTATAGAAAAGGTAATCAGGGTTTATTACATTGATTTTTAAGACTTGCTATATGGGATGCCTGGTTGGCTCCGCGGTTGAGCGTCTGCCTTTGGTTCAGGTTGTGATCCTGGGGTCCTGGGATCTTGTCCCACATCGGGCTCCCTGCATGGGGCCTGCTTCTCCCTCTGCCTGTCTCTGACTCTCTCTCTCTCTGTGTCTTATGAATAAATAAATGAAATCTTTCAAAAAAATAAAAGACTTGCTAGAAATTAAGGCTATATAGTCATAGTCTGGTCATCACAGTCCATGTTGTGGTTGCTAAAAATGAGAACAGTAACTATAGGAAGGTACCTCAATGATTTACTTAAGTATCATTTTGAATTTAGTCATTCTATCCTTAAAAATCTTCAGGAGGCTCCAGGATAAACTCTAAAACATTTAGATGGCTTGCAACATTCCCAAAAAGCTTACCACATAAAATTCTGCTTTAAATATAATATAAATGTCCCCTTAACATTCATTAGACTTTTCCACCTCTATCCCTGCCTACGTTTTGCTGTGGCAACCAATCTTGAATGTTCTTTTCTATTCTCTTTTTTTAGACACATCTTCCAAGAACCTTTCCTAATCAGGTGATTTTTCCTCTTAACCCTGCAGTAGTTAGTTGGGGGTATCCCCAAACTGATATAAATATGTAAGGTCCTAGGGCAGTCCATCTCATATATGGCGGTTTTGTCCTATTATTCAACTGATTCTTTGTTTATGCTGGGTCTCCCCAACTTGTTAATATTATCTCCCACAGAGCTATCTTTGTATATAATAAGTACCGAATAAATGTTTGTTGAAATGAAAGGGAAAAGTGAAGAAATAAAGGAGTATATTACAAGCCAATGTATTATCTGTATCATTTTATTTATTTATTTTTAAGTAGGCTCCATGTCCAGCATGGAGCCCAATGCAAGGCCTGAATTCATGACCCCAAGATCAAGACCTGAGTCGAGATCAAGAGTCAGATGCTTAACTGAGCTACCCAGGTGCCCCTGTATCATTTTATAATAAATCTAAATAATAAAATCTCTTTTAAAAATATTTTATTTATCTGAGAGAGAGAGCGAGAGAGTGTGCACAACCAGTGTGCAGCATAAAAAGAGGGAGAAGCAAGCCACTCAGGTTCCCCAAACAATAAAACTTGAGACTAAAATCTTGCAAGGTCTATCAAAATTTCCAATGTATAGCTTAAGAGGTAGTAATTATCAAAAGATAGTGGGAAATCATAAAGAAGTGATTCTTTTCCCCCTAATTTTATTGAGAAATATTTGACACACATCACTGTATGGTGTGGTTATTTTTGATAAATAACTGCGAACATACCTGATTTTCCTTGGAATAATGACTTGTGGTGTGGTATGGATGTATGTGTAGCAAGTGTGCCAGCTGTGCCACTTACCTGCTCAGGGCACACAGTGTTCATTCCTGGCATCTGCAAAGAGCTCATCTGCATCTGGCCCATCATTGGGTTCATGTTTTGAACATTTGTGTTTCCACCTGCCATGGACACGGTGATGCTCATATTGTTGTACACTCCTGGCTGCGCAGGTGTGGGCTGGTTCTGGACAGCTTGACTGAACACACTGTTAACTCAAAAACAATCCCAATTACATCCACAGTTCACAAAGATGGGGATAATGTGACTGGACTCTGCTGCTTAATTATCAGATAAAAATCGAAAGGAAAGATTTTACATTCTTAAATTATGTGTTAAGACTTTATCTTACTACAACATATAGAAATTGAGTGTAATTGAGATGAATTTTGAACTCTGCCCAAAGGAGTTAATAACTACAAAGAGCTCTTTTTAAGTTACAATTATCTGGCCTAGTATCAGAGTTGTCAAGCTCCAATTAGCTGGATAATTAAGAAAGAAAGTTTTCCACATAAACACACCTTCCAGATAACTGAAATTTACTCATTTAACCATTAAAATCATTCTAAAATTTATTACACCATTTTATCTTCCTAAACAGAGAATATCCTATTTAAGCAAAATGCCTGGGATATATATCAATCCTCAATATATGTTCACTGAATTAATTAACAAAGGAATCAATAATTCAAAGATGGCATTCTTATATTGTGGTTGCTTATACATCTTAGACTTACACTTAAGGTGAATAGTACTATCTTGTTCTACTCATTCCTCATCTCTAGTAATAAGTGACACATGGCAAACACTCAGTAAATATCTGGCGAATGAGTGACTTATGACATGGGTTATTATTACTCAGTGTTGTCAACTGATGAGGTTTGGACTGCTGCTTATTTATAGATTTTCTGGTATTGACACTAATGTTAGTTTCTAAGTGTAGCTGAGAGACTATCTGAAGAGAATTCCCTGGGACTTGTTGAGAACTGGGACTCTCAGGCCTTACTCCAGCCCCAGTGAATCAGTTTCTGAGGGTAGACACAGAAAGTCACATTTTTAACTATACACATTAAGACTCAAGGGCCTTTATTCAATGTTCTAGAGCTTGCTGTCTCTTCTCAAGGATTCAGCTTGGCTGCTTTCACTATGCTATAAACTAAGAGGAATATAACCAGATATTTTTATTTGGCAAACATAATGTTTTTAAAGACTCCAAAGGTCTTCTCAGGCCAGAAGATGGCTTTATGTCTTTTCTACAAGCAAAATGCAAGGGCAATTATGTTTTTCAGAGGGCTTCTTTTACTGATGTCCTTCTTTACGGCCTTGTTCTGAACCGCTGTTATACCAAAATCTTAAATGTTAAACCAATGTCTCTTAGTAGGTAGAATAGTATGGAATAAACTCGAAGTGAATACAACTTGAAACTTTATATTTGAACCCCCAAATTCTAAATGATACAGACTGACATATCTAAAGAAAAATGATGTGAATTATGTCTTTTCCAAGTTCTACAAAACATCAAATGTTTTATGATTATCAGTTGTTAAACATTAAACTGCTGGTAAAATTCCACCTATTTTAATGTTAATTTTGGAGAATTTGATTTCTAAAAATTATTTACCCCATCAATGGCTTATCTATTCCTTGCTAGCTCTTGGGAGGTAAGCAGGATGTACTGACATTTATAGTTTCCAGTAGATTAAGGTAATCATACTAAAATTAACAGGCTGAGAAACAGCCTATTCATCATGTCTGAAGAAAAGTAGAAAATTTTCTCCAAGTAATTATAAAACACAAATGCTCAAAGAAAATTATATTCCTAGGAAATGGTCAATAATATATCTTTGAACCATTAATGTCTGTACAGTGTGTATGCTTGTGAGGCAGTGCCCCACAACTAAAGGTGAGGAAAAGCCTATTAGTTTGCTGCCTATTTTCTAATGAGAACATTTCTGCCCCACACAATGCTCATTTGTCAATTGATCCATAAATCACCACTGTGGAGGCTCAGCTCAGGGCTATGTAAGTTAATGCATGCAAAAGCTTCAAGGACTGCAATGATGTCATACTGGTGAAAAAAAGTTCAGGGTTTAATTTCTTTTCACATTTATACTTGAGACTTATATTAGCTTAAGTTCATTCAAACTGCTCTTGCCAAGAGTTCCATTTCAGTTCCTTCCATTATGGGAAGAAGACAAGCCCTCCTGCAGCATCCATCACTATTCTAGGTCTCTGAAGGGACTGTGGGGTTCACCAGTGCCTTAGACCCAATGTACAAAGAAACCCTCCCTCTCTCTGCTTTCTTAGGCAGCCCCATGGCAGTCACTACAGTTTCTTAGGCTAGCACCAGGTATTTGGAAGCCCCTAAATCATGGGGTGGGGACCGTGGAGGAAGGTAAAGATGAAGAATTTGGCCTGAAGTGGCTTCCATACATATTACAGATATTATTAACAAGCAAGGAGGTGCTCCAGGTCAAACAAGTCTAAAACCAAAGGGTTAAACAACAGGCCTTCCTAGGCTTTAAAATGCTAATAAGTGCTAGGACTCTCCCTAGTGCCTAGTGTTACACACAAACCTGCACTGTTCCAGGACAAAGAGGCTTAGTTTAACCCTTTATTTTTCTTGCCACCAGAAAGATCATGAAAAAGAATCACATTACAGTCTCTGAACTCTATTACATCATTCTACTAAATGATTCTTTGTTTCATGTTTTATTTCTCTCCATTTACTCCTGTCACCACCTAGACTCTTGGTAACTTGACAGCAAGGGCAGTTTTCCCCTGTTCCTTGTGGTACCTTGCACTGTGCAAGACAAACAGTGAGTGGTTACAAAATACATGCTGCCTGTGTTGACTAATAAGCTTTTACACATGAAGCAAATAAGCAAGTGTGAATGCTTAAAGACTTGGTGACAACTATTTTCTTTTTTCAATGATTTGGCAAAGTCAAAGTTCACAAAAACTGTGAAAGTACAACAAAAATTCAAGCCCACATTTGACCCTGAATCCAAGTAGTGACTGAAGTAGGACAGGGAATCTTTGTACTTGTTCACAATAGGTGTACATTAAATGCCCACCTGTTCTAAAGGATGGACATACCCAAGTAAACAAAAACAAAGTCTTGCTCTTAGGATGATATTATTCCAGTTGGAGGAGAGAGACCATAAACAAACGAACTAACACACAATATGTCAGGTGTTAAGTACTATGAAGAGAAATAGAGAAGGGAAAAAGGACAAGCAGGTGGGAAATGCTGTTGTTTTAGAAATGATGATCTGGTAAGTTTAATATGGTGACATTTAATATCTATGTCTAATAAGGTGACATTTAAGGAGCAACTTGAAGTGTGAGAGAGCAGACCATGTGGCTACTGTGAGAAGAACATTCCAACGGAGGGATTTAAAAATGCAAAGGCTCTGAGTTTGCAATGTACTTGGCACATGTGAAGAACAGAAGAATAAACAGACATCAGTGTGGCAAACTGAGTGATGGGAATAGCAGCTGAGGTCAAAAAGAGACCCAGGAACAAGATTATGTGGGCTTCACAGGCCCTATACTGCATTTTGAGTAAGTTGGTGAGCACTGAGTAAAGGACTGCCATACTGCTCATGTTTGAAATGTATCACTCTGGAGTGCCTAGGTGGCTCAGTCGGTTAAGCATCTGCATTCAGCTCAGATCATGATCCCAGGGTCCTGGGATTGAGCCCAGTATCAGGCTCCTAATTAAGCAGGGGGTCTGCTTCTCCCTCTCTCTGCCCCTCCTTTCCACTTGTGCACGTGCTTGCTCTCTCTCTCAGATAAATAAATAAATAAATAAATAAATAAATAAATAAATAAATACTTAAAAAAATAAAAATAAAAAGCATCACTCTGTCTACCATCACTATTCTAGGTCTGCCTACCATCACTAGTATCACTATTCTAGGTTTCTTTCTTTTTTTTTTAAGATTTTATTTATTTATTCACTCATGAGAGAGAGAGAGAGAGAGAGAGAGAGAGAGAGAGAGAGAGCAAGAGAGAGAGAGAGAAAGAGAGGCAGAGACACAGGCAGAGGGAGAAGCAGGCTCCATGCAGTGAGCCTGACGTGGTACTCGACCCCAGGTCTCCAGGATCATATCCTGGGCTGAAGGCGGTGCTAAACCGCTGAGCCACCCGGGCTGCCCTATTCTAGGTTTCTGAAGGAACTGTGGGGTTTACCAGTGCCTTAGACCCAATATACAAAGAAACCATCCCTCTCTCTGCTTTCTTAGGCAGCCCCATGGCAGTCACTACAGTTTCTTAGGCTAGCACCAGGTATCTGGAAGCCCCTAAATCATGGGGTGGGAGCCATGGAGGAAGGTAAAGATGAAGAATTTGGCCTGAAGTGGCTTCCATAGCATATTCCATATGCTAGCCTAAGAAACTGTAGTGACAGTGGGGTGCTGATTGGGCAGCTGTATGTACAGTATGGCATTCAGGGAAGAAGTTTGGACTGGAGATTTAAATTGATAAGTCATGTACCTAGAGATAGGCATTTTATAGCCCTAAGAGTGGACAGCATAACCAAGGGAGAAAGTAGACAGAATGAGCCCAGAGGCCCTCAAATGGAGCTCTGGGAGATGAGGAAGATCCAGCAGAGGACACTGAGAGTTACCTTTCTCAAGAGAGAATGCTGTTCCAGAAACTCAATGAAGAAGCTTTAAGAAGGAATAAATGCCTAAGTATGTCAAATGCTACCAATAATCACTACATCTGGTATTGCAGAGGACACTGATGACCACTGTAGAGGACAAGGATACTTCTGTTAAGTGGTAGGGGTGAAAGCCTACAGTTCAACAAGGCAAGGAGAAGCAGTGTTAGAGTCTTTTAGGGAATTTAACTGTAAAAGGGAGCAGAGCTGTCAGGGGAATTGTGTTTTTTCCAAGATACATTTAAATGCTTAGGTGTAGGTATGAGGCTAGAGTTTAGCTGGATTTCTTTAGGGAGTGTTTTGTTAGCAGGGCCAAGTGCAACAGAGGGAGAGCTGGGCAAGGGATTTGAGAGTGTCTGTAGAGGAATAGCTATAATCACGGAACACAGAATCTAAAGTGAATTTAGGAAGCTGGGATCAGAACATATTAGGAGACTAAATTCTTTTTGCATCTTATATAGACAGTTCCATTTCTAGCTAATTTACACACAGTCCTCACAGAGAGCTACACAATTCTCTAACGGGAAGACTTCCTCTCACCTTTCAGTGAACTTTAGGAAAATGTGGTCTTAAGTTTTCAACTTTAACTGCCTTACTTATTATGTTGTCAGATCAAACAGCTTCCCTGTCATTAGAACCAAGACACAACCTAATTAAAAGCCTTATAAAACTCAAGTGAAGTGTGAAAAGTTCAGCAGCCAGGATCTGGGGGGAAAATGACGTTAGTGAGATAATTCTAAGCAGAATGGGCAAGATGAGGCCACTGAAAGTCTAGAAATTCAAAGAGCTGGCTGAGGCAGAATGGCCTGAGAAGCCCTCAAAACCTTTGCTGTTGCTATGAAATCTTTCAAACATGCTGAGAGGGGTGAAGCCTGTGTGCCCACTGTTCAGGCTCTAATGAATCCTGATAGCCATTCTTACTTTAGAGTTTTAGGAGTTTTTATCTGGTTTTATAAAGGACCAATTTTTTTTTTTTTTAAGTATCCATTTCTATATCTGTCCCAGGAAAGCTCTGTTACACACAGGAGTTAATCACATTCTTCAGGTATGCTGGTGATGGGATGGAAAGGTTGGGGGCCACTAGATACATTTTCGGTACTGTAAATGTGTAAATTTGCCTTTAAAATGACTTGAAACTTAAAGGATTTAAAAGTCATTATTTCTCTTTGCGATCACATAAAATTCATTCAGTTCCATGAACTTGCAAATGGCAGCAGCCAATATTTATTTATTTATTTATTTATTTATTTATCTATCTATTTATTTATATATTATTTATCAATCAATCAATCATTCAATCAAGATTTTATTTTGCGATCACATAAAATTCATTCAGTTCCATGAACTTGCAAATGGCAGCAGCCAATATTTATTTATTTATTTATTTATCTATCTATCTATCTATTTATTTATATATTATTTATCAATCAATCAATCAATCATTCAATCAAGATTTTATTTATTTATTCATGAGAGACACACAGAGAGAGGCAGAGACACAAGCAGAGGGAGAAGCAGGCTCCATGTAGCGATCCTGAAGCAGGACTTGATCCCGGGACCGCATGCTCATGCCCTGAGCCATAGGCAAACGCTCAACTGTTAAGCCACCCAGGTGTCACAATACCCTTCTATTTAGATTGTGAAGGCATGACTGTTCTTATGTACTACAGAGGACCCGGCCTGCTCATATATAAAAACTTACTTACTTGTTTCCCATTGCTCCTGGCTGCCAGGCCTTCATGTCTGGTGACTGGTACCCAGAAGAGGGTGGAGTTGGCTGGAGCAGAGAGCTCTGAGGAGGAGGGATTGGCATCGGCACCATGGAGCTCCCAGGGCTTAGAGATGGAGCAAAGTTGGCCTCACCTTGGGGAACCATTCCTGCAAATTGACACAAATTAATTTATGTGAATATACTATTAATTTATTAGCTTCATAAAAGAGAATACCTCCCCCTCCACAAGGATCTGTAACAATATAGTTAGAAATAGCCTATTCAACCAAGTAGGGAAAGCATTTCAATCTCTTCAAAATAAGGCAAAAGGAGATTTCAGTATAAACAGACAAACATATCAAGTTTGGAAGAATGCCTTCTATTCATTTAACATATTGATCTTGGTACCAGGATTATGTATAATGTTTTTTTTTTCTGTTCTTTTTTGCTTACATGGATTTTTAAGTGTAAAAAACATAAATGAACATACATGACAGATTACTTGTATAATCAAAATAAGTTAGAAAGGGGGAAAGGTATGACAAACACATGTGTGAAATGAAAAATGAGTCAAGTTTTGTCCGTGCCTCAGTCATCTCTGTGGACTCTTCTTTCTTTCCCTGTCCTTTTTTAATTTTTTAAAAGCTTTACTGAGGTGTAATCTAGGCTGCCTTGAATTCACCCACCGAACTGCACAACTCCATGATTTTTAGTCAATTTACAGAACCCTGCTACCATCACCACAGTGCGGTCTGGACACTGTCATCACCCTCACCATCCCTCTGGACTTGTCTGCAGTCAATTCTGTCTCCTACCTCCAGCCTTAGGCAACCACTGATCTGCTGTCTCTACAGATGTGCCCTTTGGGGGCAATGTCACGTAAATGTAATCATATGAGGTCTTATGGGTCTAGCTTCTTTCAATTTGATAATGTTTCTGAGGTCCAACCATTCTGTAGCATTTATTGGTAGTTTGTCCCTTTCTATGCAGGATTGATGATTAGCAGCTATTGATATAATCATGTTAAAAATCAACTGACTGTAACATTAACAGTTTACTTCTGGATTTTTAGGCTGTTGTAGTGATCTGCATGTCCACACTTGTACTAATACTATATTGTCTTGGCTGATGTGACTTTATGGTAATATTTGAAACTTGACAGTCATCCAACTTGGCTTTTCTTTTTCAAAACTGTCTTGGCTATTCTGGGTACTCTGCATTTCCATATAAATTATAGGAGAAGCTTGTCAATTTCTTCAAAAAGCATACTGACATTTTGATTGCTCTGAATTATAAGATCAATTTGGAGTGAATTTGCCGTCTTTTCAGTCTTTATCTGATTTCACTTTGTACAGCTTCCACTATTATACATTCAAGTTCACTAATATTTTCTTTTGTAATATCTAATCACCTTCTCATTCCATCTAGTACATTTTTCATCTCAGACATTGTACTTTTTGTCTCCAAAAGTTTGGTTTTATTTATATTGTCCTTTACTTAATATGTTCAAGCTTTTCTAGCTTTTTGAACATATGAAATAAATGTATAATTTATAATTGTCTCAATGTCCTGTCTACTCATTTTGTCACTTGTATGATTTCTGGGATGGTTTTTTTTTTTTTTTTTTTTTTAAAGATTTTATTCATGAGAGACACAGAGAGAGAGGCAGAGACACAGGAAGAGGGAGAAGCAGGCTCCCTGCAGGGAGCCTGACATGGGACTCAATCCCGGATCTCCAGGATCAGCTCTGGGCCAAAGGCGGCACTAAACTGCTAAGCCACCGGGCTGCCCTCTGGGTTGGTTTTGATGACAGATTTTTCTCCTCATTATTGGTTTTATTATCCTGCATCTTTGCATTCCTGGTAATTAAAAGACTGATCCCAGACCTTGTGAATTCTATCTTGTTAGGTGCTGGAATCTTACAGTCCTTAAAAAAAAAAAAAAAAATATATATATATATATATATATATATATATATACACACACACACACACACACACACATACACACACATATACACACATACACATATGTATATGTATATGTATACACTTCCCCCTTCCCGCCCCAAGAGAGAAAGAGAGAGCAAGTGCACATGACTGGGGATGGTGGGATTTAAAGAGTCTTAAGCAGGCCCCATGTCCAGCATGGAGCCAGACATGGGGCTCAATGCAGGGCGCCATTTCACGATCCTGAGATCATGACCTGAGCCAAAATTAAGAGTTGAATGCTTAACTGACTGAGCTACCTAGGTGCCCCTAAAAGTCCTTCAAATATTTTCAACCTTTGTCTGGGTTGTAGTTAGGTGACATGGAGACAGTTTAATTCTTTGGGGTCTTGCAATCAAGAGATAAGAGCAGAGTTTATGGTTTATTTTGCCTGCTACTGAGACAAAATCCTTCTGAGTATTTTACTTGACACCCCATGAGTCATGAAGTTTTCTATTCTGACTAGTGGGAAGAGAAGTTGGCCCTGTGTGAACTTTTCAGACCATTCCCTGTAATTTTTCCAGGTGGTTTTCCCTGGCCTTGGCTTGCACACACATGCACACATACATACAAACACACACAAAACCTGAGTGAGACCCTGTGCACATCCCTCCAGTTCTCTCCCTTTATGACTCTCTTTTCTCTGGTCCTATTCCCTGAGACCTCTAGTTGCCTTGGCTTCCCTGGACTCCCAGCTCCATGGGCTCAACTCAGGGAAACCACCAGTTCCTTTTGGACTCCCTCTCCATGCAGCATGGTCTGAATGATTTCTAAAACTGTAGTTCAACATACTTTTATTTTTTTGTTTGTTTCAGATGAGAATAAATCTGATTCCTGTTACTTCAACTTAGCCAAAAGTGCAAGTCCATAACATTTTAGAAGTAAAAATGATTTCTTTTTTATGATTTCTGTTATGCTAACACTTCATATTTTTTTTTCCTGACAAAATACATTTCATAGTTAAATACTCTTGAAGTACAGAGAGTTATAAAGGTGAGGAGAAAAAGAATATCATAATTTGATTACCCATAATTTAGTATAATTCCTTCAAATCTTACTTTATAAAACCTTGCACAATTTTGTGACCTGCTTCTTTCCCTGATGATTGTATCATAAACATGTTTCTATGTCCTTAACGTCTCTTTATAAATATAATTGCATATTCTGTGTTCTGCCATTGTTATTACAACTTTTCTTTTTTTGTGTGGTTAATCTGGTAAGAGATGTAGCTAATTCATTCACTTTTGCTTTTTGGGTAGACTACAATTTTTAAAATATTTTAAATTTTCAATGAAAGTTGAGTGACTTTCTATAGTTTTTTCTTTTATTAAATATTTAACTACTTCTTTTCTTGCTAAAGATTATATAAATAGCATCACAATGCCAGATTTCAGGTTGTACTACAAAGCTGTGGTCATCAAGACAGTGTGGTACTGGCACAAAAACAGACACATAGATCAAGGGAACAGAATAGAGAATCCAGAAGTGGACCCTCGACTTTATGGTCAACTAATATTCGATAAAGGAGGAAAGACGATCCACTGGAAGAAAGACAGTCTCTTCAATAAATGGTGCTGGGAAAATTGGACAACCACATGCAGAAGAATGAAACTAGACCACTCTCTTGCACCATACACAAAGATAAACTCAAAATGGATGAAAGATCTAAATGTGAGACAAGATTCTATGAAAATCCTAGAGGAGAACACAGGCAACACCCTTTTTGAACTTGGCCACAGTAACTTCTTGCAAGATACATCCACGAAGGCAAAAGATACAAAAGCAAAAATGAACTATTGGGATTTCATCAAGATAAGAAGCTTTTGCACAGCAAAAGAAACAGTCAACAAAACTAAAAGACAACCTACAGAATGGGAGAGGATATTTGCAAATGACGTATCAGATAAAGGGCTAGTTTCCAAGATCTATAAAGAACTTATTAAACTCAACACCAAAGAAACAATCCAATCATGAAATGGGCAAAAGACATGAACAGAAATCTCACAGACAAAGACATAGACATGGCCAACATGCACATGAGAAAATGCTCTGCATCACTTGCCATCAGGGAAATACAAATCAAAACCACAATGAGTTACCACCTCACACCAATGAGAATGGGGAAAATTAACAAGGCAGGAAACCACAAATGTTGGAGAGGATGTGGAGAAAAGGGAACCCTCTTACACTGTTGGTGGGAATGTGAGCCACTCTGGAAAATTGTGTGGAGGTTCCTCAAAGAGTTAAAAATAGACCTGCCCTATGACCCAGCAATTGCACTGTTGCGGATTTACCCCAAAGACACAGATGCAATGAAACGCCGGGACACCTGCACCCGATGTTTCTAGCAGCAATGTCCACAGTAGCCAAACTGTGGAAGGAGCCTCGGTGCCCATCGAAAGATGAATGGATAAAGAAGATGTGGTTTATGTATACAATGGAATATTACTCAGTCATTAGAAATGACAAATACCCACCATTTGCTTCAACGTGGATGGAACTGGAGGGTATTATGCTGAGTGAAATAAGTCAATTGGAGAAGGACAAACATTATATGTTCTCATTTATTTGGGGGAATATAAATAATAGTGAAAGGGAATAGAAGGGAAGGGAGAAGAAATGGGTAGGAAATATCAGAAAGGGAGACAGAACATAAAGACTCCTAACTCTGGGAAATGAACTAGGGGTGGTGGAAGGGGAGGAGGGCGGCGGGTGGGGGTGAATGGGTGACGGGCACTGAGGGGGGCACTTGACGGGATGAGCACTGGGTGTTATTCTGTATGTTGGCAAATTGAACACCAATAAAAAATAAATTTTTTATAAAAAAGATTATATAAATAAAGCTACATATTTTCTCTTTTTTGCTTCCTCCATCTGTAATTTAATCTCTAATAATTTTGACTTAGAACATAAGGAGAAACTAATTTTTTTCATTTAGGACTCTAGAAGATGGGTTTTTTTCCCCCATCATCTTCATTTATATGTTGACCATCTTTGCATGCACTCTAAATTATAACTGTTTTGATTGTGATCTTTGAAAAAGTACTTGTCTGTTTCTAATGCATTTTTAGCCTTATTAATGAAGTAATTTCTTTCAGAAAAATATGTGAGGGTAGAAAAGAAAACATATTCTGGACATTATTCTGTGGATTTGAAGTTAAACAATAAATAAGAGATTGCATGTATATCAGCATACTTTTTGACATTTCTTTCTGGACTCATCTCACATTCTAATTTTTTCCTTATCAGATGACCTACTTTTAGTAGAAAGAACCACCATGTGAATAATGAATTGCAAGAATCAGAGTTTTGGTCTGGGTTCTGCCACCACATTGGACCTTGGATTTCTTGGACCAATCTAGTCCCTTCCGGTTTAAAATTTCTATAATTCTATCTTTGCCTAGACTATGCTAAGTCTCCCTAATGGGCCATAAATAGCATCACAGCCATTTGGCAGCAGCAACTAGAACCGAGATTCATCCTTCCATTCATTTACTTCTTTGGCGATTCATTGAACATCTACTCTCCCTGCCAGACCACTGTGCTAAGCAATAGAGAAACTAAAAAAGTCACAGTTGGCTCAGTCAAGGAACTTGCTATTTAAAAAGTAAGGCAGCTAGGTAAGCAAGCATCTGTAAGACAGGGTGGTAAGTGCTTATGATTGGGAGTGGTCAAGGAAGGCTTCCCAGAGGAGACGCTTCAGAGAGGAGGAACAGGAATGAGGCAGTTGAACAAAAGATATTGGTTGAGACAGAGGATACAGGCTTACAAGGCCTAGTAAGAAAAGAGAGGAAGGTATGTACTCTTTCTTGGAACTTAAGTTTTTACAGCTGGGACAATGAGAACTGGAGAGAAGGGGAAGTGGAATGAGGAATCTAACTTTGGACAAGTTGCACTGGGGATGATAGTGGAAAGAAAATTCAAGTATGTCTGTCATGAGGCAGCTGCAAACAAGAACTATATGATCTGGTTAGAGCTACATAAGAGAATCATCAGCATGAAGAGGTCACTGAAGACACAGGAGTAGAAGAGATTACTTAAGAAGAATGGGTGGAGTAGCATGTTTATTGTAGTTCACAGAAGAGGGAGCTACAGATTGGCTTTAAGAAATTCATGAGGGATCCCTGGGTGGTGCAGCGGTTTAGCGCCTGCCTTTGGCCCAGGTGCGATCCTGGAGACCTGGGATCGAATCCCACGTCGGGCTCCCGGTGCATGGAGCCTGCTTCTCCCTCTGCCTATGTCTCTGCCTCTCTCTCTCTCTCTCTCTCTCTCTCTCTCTCTCTGTGTGACTATCATAAATAAATAAAAATTAAAAAAAAAAGAAATTCATGAAATGGGTACAAAATCTTGTAAAAATTTCCATCATATTTACTTTAAATATCACCTTGGTATAAAATAAATTTTATTATTATTTTTTTAAAGATTTCATTTATTTCATGAGACATACAGAAAGAGAGAGGCAGAGACATAGGCAGAGGGAGAAGCAGGCCCCATGCAGGGAGCTCAATGCTGGACTCAACCCCGGGACTCCAGGATCACGCCCTGAGCCAAAGGCAGACGTGCTTAACTGCTGAGCCACTCAGGCATCTCTAAAACAAGTTTAAATGTCTAATTCTGTTCATGTGCACTCATCATTATGGCCTGATAATCTAGAAAAAGTTTTGGTCTTAAGAAATAAAAGAAAGCAAACTGCCATTACTATTACCTACATGTTTCATTTACTTTGGGCCTCTACTAAGCTAAAAGATGCCAAAGCAAAGGACTAAAGCTAAGTTAATAAATTCAACCTTGGTTTTACTATGATCAATTAACACAACAAATTTTTTGTGGAAAGGGCCAGATAGCAATTATTTTTGATTCTGCAGACCATAAGGTTTCTAGTACAACCGAACTCCATGTATGACGCCAACCTCATACGACAATACATAAACTAATGAGGATGACTGTGTTACAATAAAACTTCATTTACAAAAGTTGAAACTTCTCCAGAACTTGAATTTGTACTGACAGAAACCTGGTCTTGAGGTTTTCTACCAGGTTGTTGATAATGTTGGAATGAGTTTATAACTTAGATTAATGGAAGAAATTAAAAACACTGCCTCTTTATTTTTATTTTTTAATTTTTTAAAAGACTTTATTTATTTATTCATGAGAGAGACAGAGAGAGAGAGGCAAAGACAGAAGCAGGCTCCATTCAGGGAGCCCGATGTGGGACTCGATCCCGGGACCCCAAGATCACGCCCTGAGTAGAAGGCAGGTGCCAAACCGCTGAGCCACCCAGGGATCCCCAACACTGCCTCTTTATTTTTATTTTTATTTTTTTTAAATTTTTTTTTTAATTTATTTATTTATGATAGTCACAAAGAGAGAGAGAGAGAGAGAGAGAGAGGCAGAGACACAGGCAGAGGGAGAAGCAGGCTCCATGCACCGGGAGCCCGATATGGGATTTGATCCCGGGTCTCCAGGATCGCGCCCTGGGCCAAAGGCAGGCGCCAAACCGCTGCGCCCCCAGGGATCCCAACACTGCCTCTTTAAATGTTCTTTTGCTCTCCAGAAAAACTGACAACTTCTCCCCCTATTATTTTGAAGTAGTTCATGGAAGAACTACAAGCTCTGTCATTTTATTTCAATTTGCAACTGGATGAAACAATTACTCTTTTCATTGCACCCAGCTTCTAGGTCTTGTTTGTAATAGGAATGCTGACTTCATCAATGATGAATTCTTATTTTGTGAAAAGTATTTTCTGTTAATCTAAATTTGGACTAGAAGAAAAATCCAGGTACCAAATCGAGTGCTTACTATGGGTAGCAACACATCCAGTTATGCTGCCTAGAGAAGAAGTAAGCTCCACCCACTCATGATCTCAATCATTGTGTACACTGACATGGCAACAGATCAAAGACTAGACCCACAACTCTGAAAGAAATCTTGTCAACTCCACTGGAAATCGGGTTCTGAAGTACTGCTTTTCTAGGTGGCTTTGTCAAGAAACAAGCGCAGGACAGGAAATTTTTGGCTCTCCAGAGAAGAGGTGTTGAAGAACATGACTGAAAATGGACAGAAGTATTGTTTCTATTTTTATTTTTTTAGGAGAAAAGAATCCTTGGGCAATTTACTAATGTTTGGCTTACTCACAGCTACTTCTTTTTTGCCAATGAATGAGATAAACCTTTTGATTTAAGCCTCTGTAATCAATATTCTGAATGCTACTAAGATTATATCTGCTGTCTGGGCTAAGTTGCCATTTTGGAAGAGGAACAGAGAACCAGGTAACTAAATAAGTATTCTAATTTTGGAGGAAGTACTTCTGCAGGCTAGAATAAAGTGAAAAGGCCTTGTCAAGTTCTCTGCATACAGAAAATCGTAAGACACATGAAAGTGGCCTTCAAAAGGTTCAGACAATATTATAATTACAATATGGATTTATAACCCTTTTCTTGCCATACAGATAGAGTCAGTGATATAAACCAGCCAAAGATGACTTCATTGTCTTGAGGACAAAGGAACTGATTGACATAATTTTGTGTAAAAGGTCTTAGAGAATTCTGGTGTCTGACACAAGTCTCCCTAGATAATTTAATTTAATAGTCAAAGATTTTAGCACTTGTTGCCACCAGAATGAAAGTCTAAATTGATTTGGCTGTCAAAGTTGATAAGTGTATTGCTATGTAAAAAATCTCTATATAACCTCAACATTTTATTTAAGTCAAATAGCAGGCTTCTCATGGAAATTCGTTTTTAGGCAGTCTTATAATTTGCTTTTTCTTTGACTTATAAAATGAAGGGATTTATTTCAATTTTCCCCCCAGGAATCTGCCATTAATTTTGCAACAAAATTTGATTAAACATCATGGATTAATCAAATGTGCTTTATTATCACTACCCATTAAAATCTGAAAGTGATAGAAGCAAAATTTAAAAGGATATCATCACCTAGGACAAAGAAAATGGAAGAGAGACAATGCAAACAAAAGATTAAAAAGAAAAACAACCTCTGGAAGCCAGAAGTTCCTGATATTGCAGAGGAATAGCTTACAACTTAAGCAGGTAGGAGTGCTGAGACTCTGTAAAGCTCGATTATCCCTATATTAACTATTGAAAACAAAGTGTCCAACATAATGAAAAAACTGTATGCACATTTTGAGTTAATATACTTCAACCCATTGTCTGAAGTGGACTTTCATGAGATTCTTATAGGGATCCATGATAGAAAGTAAGAAAGTAAGAGAATATACTCTGTAGATAAAATGCTCAAAATTTTAGAATCACACAAGTCCTTCTAGATTTTCTAATTAATCATCTCAGCTATCAGTGAGTGGTAAGCCTCGACCACTTACCCATTAACTGGCAAGAGAGGAGTCTGGAGCCCGATCTCCTGACTCCCATGACAGCATCTTTTCTCTTCAGTACATTGCCTCACTGTTAGTGCACTAAGACACACACAAACCTGTATACTTATGATGGAGGACAGAGTGCAATCCTCATACCTGATCCTGGATACTGGAAGACATTTTGCTGCATCTGAGGATTGATTCCAGTGCCAAATTGTCCTCCCATGTTTCCTGCCATGCCTCTGTTCACCATGCTGTTGCGGTTGGCCAAGGTTGACTCAGGATTTGCCGCCAGTTGTGAAAATGGGCTGGTTGAAGCAGGTGGGGTTCCTGGGTTTGTACCATAGCTTGGTGGGTAGGGAAATTGCTGCGGAGCACCCTGAGGAAGACGGGGGTTCCCCATTTGAACTGGCAGTCCAGATGAGGGAGGGAGGTTGTTCCCAAAGCTTTGCTGCCTCATCAGCATGGCTCTTTGCTGCTGAATTAGCTGTCTCTGTCGGTGCTGCTGGCTGTACAACTCCCGCTGGCGTTGTGCCAACATTTGGGCATTCAGGGGTGGCTGCAAGGAAGAAAATAAATCCTCACTTATTAATATTGTTATCATTGCCACCTATTTTGGAAAGCTTACAGGATAAAGCCTAGTAGCTTGGGGCAACAAAATACGTAGCAATTATCACTATGACTTCAATCTTATATCGGACATTAGGTTGTTAGGAGACTTTTTTTTCATTTCCCCAAAATTTACTGTTTCTTAGTTTCCCCCTTTTCTCATTGATATCATTGATTCCACTTTACTTAAATGAATAAAATGTGATTATAGTTCATCTTAATTTTCTTCAATATACTTTCCTGCATTTTCCAAATCATTGATAATGAACACGCATTATCTTCACAATTAGAAAAACCTACAAATACCATTTAAAAAGGAAGAATCAGAAATCCAGGATCCAATGCTAAACAAATTGTTACTTGAAAAAATAATTATAAACCAAATAATAAACCGAAATAAATGGAACCAGCTATTTTTTTTAAAAAAGATTTATTTTAGAGAGAGAGAGAGAGAGAGAGAGAGAGCATGAGCAAGGGGACAGGCAGAGGGAGAGGGAAAGAGAGGGAGAGAAGCAGACTCCCTGCTAAGTGCACGGCTAGATACAAGGCTTGATCCCATAACCCTGAGATCATGACCTGAGTCAGATGCTTAAATGACTGAGCTACCCAGGGGCCCCGGAACCATCTATTTTTATATCATTGTTGTAGTAAAGACTACTCCAGGCATTAGAGTATGTGTTTTAATAGTAAAATACTAGGAATGACAAAAGTGGCAGTAAAATTAGATTACAATCACTTTTTGGTGTAACTTGTAAAGCAACATGGCGTATCAATAAAGCCTTTCTCAGAAAATTTCAATTCAGATTGAGGAACTGATCAAAGTATATAGCTCCTTTAAAATTATACTTGCCAAGTAGATATAGTCCAATCTAAACGAAAATGTGACATATAACTTTTTAATAGAAATCATCTTTATGTGAATGACAAAAGTGAGGTCTTGTTTCCTTATGACCTAATTTCCCTTGCATGAGCCAATCACAGAGATTTTTAAGACAGGGAAACCCAAGTATGGATCCATGAAGATACCGATATCTGCTGCTTAACAGTAGATTCATTTCGCCTTTTTCTTTTCTTTAGAAAGAGAGAGAGCAAGCGGGAGTGGGGCTAGGAAAGGGAGAGAGAAGCCTAACATGGGGCTCAATCCCAGGACTCCGAGATCATGACCTGAGCTGAAACCAAGAGCTGTATGCTTAACCGATGAGCCACGGAGGTGTCCCATTAACAGTAGTTTCTGTCAATATTTATCCTTTTGGTTACAGTTGGCTTCCTGTATTTGCCTCGAATCCATCTAGGTACATTTTATGGAGAAAAGAAAAGTTTTTTGTGAGTCATGTCTAAAATTCCTCATCTCTCAAAAATCTGTGTCACCTTGGTTAAGAAAACATGAAAAAGTGGTTGAAGCAAAAATACTGAGCTATGTGTAGAAATTAAGCAGGGAGTGAGTATTAGACAAGTCTTAGAAGGCTACCCAGTTTATTATGTTTAAAGTTCAAGGGGGGTGGCGCCTGGGTGGCTCAGTGGTTGAGCGTCTGCCCTTGGCTCAGGTTGTGGTTCCGGGGCCCTGGAATTGAGTCCCATATTAGGCTCCCCACAGGGAGCCTGCTTCTCCCTCTGCTTATGTCTCTGCCTATCTCTGTGTGTCTCTCATGAATAAATAAATAAAATCTTAAAAAAAAAGTTCCAATGGCCCTGGGTTCATGTACAAGGTTTGTTAAAATATATAAAAAACAGACTCAGACTGAGGAGAGAACACAAGGTAGTTAAGATAACTCAGCAATGTGACTGGGTTTTGATCAGGTTTCAGGTACCATTCACATAGTTTCTTACCTAGGCATCTTATTACTGGTCCTTTTCAGGATAGCAGTAAGAGTATTATACTGATTCACCTGGTATCTAATAGCAATGACAACAATACCAATAAAATGAAAAGGACCCTTGGTTTTAGATCAAATATCAGGAAGGGGTATCACAAGTTGATTATAAATTCATTCTAAAAAAGAGCTGTGTTACTAACTTAGAAGATCAATTCACAGACCATTTTGGAAACTCAAGTCAACACTTTAAGAAACACAACTTGGGTTAGAGAAGTACTAACAATGTCTGGTTTTCTCATATTACCTGAGGTGTAATTTGCTGTTGCATGCCTGATCTCATATTGATGCCAACAGGAGCGTTTGCTGCAAACTGGTTCAAGATAGCTTGGCGATTTTGGTGGATCAACTAAAGAAAAAAGAAACAATGGGATATCATATTTCTACATATAAACATATACTTTGGCTCTTATAGAGTAACACAAACTTTTTACTAATTATTATCAAGTTTTAGTATTACAGGTTTATTATTTCCCATGTTTATTTGCCAAAAGGTTAGCAGTTCCTAACACTTCTCAAATATTTCCTGCCTACAGAATACGAAATAGGACAGAGCATTTAAAAGCAGAATCCATACACATGTGCATATGTGTGTGTGTGTGCATACACATATAGGTATATACACATGTACATACATATATTGTACTTTTATTTTTTATTTTTTTAGGTAGGTTCCACACCAAGCATGGACCCCAATGTGGAGCTTGAACCCATGACCCTGAGAATAAGACCTGGGCTGAGATCAAGAATCAGACACTTAACCGACTGAGCCACTCTGGCACCCCCACATATCATACTCTTAAAATCATGCTAATACTCAGTTATTTCAGATAAATACAATAATGGTGAGAAAAGAAATCAGCCCCACATCTTAAACTATTGTGAATATAAAAGTAAGTATACAATAGGGCACATTCTACAAAGGTCTGGAAGATGAATGGAAAAGTTGAGGTACTTCTCACTTGGAAGCTGTCAGATGAGTACATATTTGGGGAAATCCAACATGATTTTATTCGCTGGAGAGAATTATGTAAGTAACAAATGGTTTGAGAAAATAGGCTATTTATTTAACTAGAAGAAGTAATTACTTCAGACCAGCACTTCCCAAATTGGTGTTCTAAAGAACACTGTTCTGCAGGATATTAATAGATGTGCCAGGAAAATAGCATGCTGTGCTGTATTAAGTATTGGAAATGATGGGTTACACAAGGTGAAACAGATTTCTTTACTGCAGTAATTCTGAGCCTTTAATTGGCCAAAGCACACTGTGGATCTTCAAGAAGGGGATATACTATGCAACTTGTTTTCATGAGCCTTTTTTTCCTGACATCTAGCCATTAACATTTATCTCCTAGATAAATACAATCTTGTATGGAACACTAGTTTGGAAGATGGTGTCTGTATCAAGCTTAGGGTTCCAGGTCATAGGCATGCCTTAACTTCATCAGGTAATAAAACAAACAACGTGAGAAGTGATATTTCCTGATATAGCTTACAGAATTTCTTGCTCAATAAATTGATGTGAATAAACTGTTCAGAGAGATAATAAAAACAATATCAATACTATTTTGTGTTTATATGGTACTTTATAAGATAAAATGTTAAATACTATCCATATATTTTAACATATTTTATATTTTAGTATATTTAATATATTTTAATATGAGATATAAACTAGAAAGACTGAAAGTTTTATAAGAGAATCCAAACTGCTGTGAACAGTGATTAAATCTTCCATCTCTAAACAGCTCAATTCTTAATTCTGGTTTCATTAATTTTCTGACTCCCGTTAGATCAGAAAGCAAACTATTTTGGCAGGAAAAGCTCACTGTAATATAAACATAAAAATGAAAAGTTTCAGGCATTTGTGGCATAGGATAAAACATTTGGAATCACCTTAAAAATGGAGATACAAACATTATAGTTTTAATTTTTTATTTTATTTATTTTTTAAAGATTTTATTTATTTATTCATGAGAGAGAGAGAGAGAGAGAGAGAGAGAGAGAGGCAGGCAGAGACAGGCAGAGGGAGAAGCAGGCTCCATGCAGGGAGCCCAATGTGGACTTGATCCTGGGTCTCCAGGATCACACCCTGGGCCGAAGGCAGGTGCTAAACCACTGAGCCACCCAGAGATCCCGAACATTATAGTTTTAAAAGTCAAGGGATTCTTAAGTAAAAAAAATCTACATACTTCTTAAATTCTACAGACCACAGACAGTAGTTTAAAAAAAGCCATTAATTTTACAAAGATTTATCAAAAAATTAAGTGTATGCAAGATACTACATAAAGTTTGAAGGCTACAGAGGTGAGCAAATCTCTGTCCTCTGGGAATTTCTGTTCAGTGTCAGAGGCCAATACAGAAGGGCGTCACCAACAAGTGTTATACTTGAATTTCCAGAGACATTCACAACACTTAGCCTAGAGCATGAAAGCAGAGACCAAGAACACGAGTGTGCTCAATGGGACTTGAAAGATGAGAATGCCGGGTGGCAAGAAGGATGATAGAGCTAACTTGAGGCAGAAAGTACAGCAAGTCTATAAACAGAAGACAAGGCAATGCAGACAGGGGAAAATACATTAAACATAGCGATAAAGAGAAGTTAACATTGCCAGGGGAGCGGGAGTTGGGTTTCCAAACTTACAACTTTATATATTCTTTAAATTGTGAGATGATGTGTTAATGAAATGGGTGAGGACAGAGGAAAGATGCTTGAGAAGTAGTAAAAATGAGAAAATAACCTCAGGAAATAAATCACAACCTTAGAAAACAAACAAGCTATTTTTAGAAGCAGAAGAAATTATTCTAAATACCAGTAATCTACAAGCACTTTCCATTAAAGAAAAATGGATCTATTTATGCTCTTAAAATAATTCTTTTCCTTTTCCTCTCTTCTCACTCTGTGTACAACCTAACACTGTGTACAGTTATCTCACTCTGACCTGCCTCTTTGATTACTAAAATGCTACCCGTTATCTAGCAAGCAAATCAAGTTCTATTCTTCCAAGGAAGTCTTCGCAAAAGGATCACTGTATCCTTTAACTCCTTGGAAATTTTGACTTTTGGTCAGTGGGAGAAGAGAGGTCAGGAATCCTCAGAGCTGGGGACATAAATTCAAAAGTCTATAAAGGCCAGGTCAAAAGGCTTGCATTATAAGAGGAAATGTGGGGCTGTGTCCAGTGGAACACTAGAAACTCAGCCTACACATATAAAACACACACATTGTGTTTAAGATGGCTGACATTTTGTCTGCTAAATGGATTTTTTTTCAGTGCCAGAAGTGCTTCCACAGGAAACCCAAAAGATAATTATCTAGCCTAGAGGTTCTGAACCAGGGATGATTCTGCCCCACAAGAGAAATTTAGCAATGCCTGAAGCCACTTTTGGCTGTCACAACTTGGAGAAAAGTTGCTACTGGTATCTTATGGGTAAAGGTCAGGGATGTTGTTAAACATTCTTAAATGAATGGGAAAGCCCCCATAGCTAGAATTATATGTCCCAAAATGTCAATGCTGCCAAGATCGAAAACCCTGATTTAGCCACTGTGTAAATTCTTTTTTTTTTAAAGATTTTATTTATTTATTCATGAGAGACAGAGAGAGAGAGAGAGAGAGAGAGAGAGAGAGAGAGAGAGAGAGGCAGAGACACAGGCAGAGGGAGAAGCAGGCTCCATGCAGGGAGCCTGACGTGGGACTTGATCCCGGAACTCCAGGATCATGCCCTGAGTTGAAAGTAGATGCTTAATTGCTGAGCCACCCAGATGTCCCCACTGTGTAAATTCTTGACAAGAGGTTCGTTCATTCATTCATATGAGAGAGAGAGAGAGAAAGAAAGAAAAAGTGTATGGGAAGGAGAGGAAGAAAGAATCTAAAGCAGACTTCATGCTGAATGCAGATCCCCATTGCAGCGCTTGATCCCACAACCACGAGATCATGACCTGAGCCAAAACCAAGAGCTGGCCACTTATCTGACTGAGCCACCCAAACACCCAGACAAAGTGTTCTTTTAAAGAAGGTATTCTTCGGGATCCCTGGGTGGCGCAGCGGTTTGGCGCCTGCCTTTGGCCCAGGGCGCGATCCTGGAGACCCGGGATCGAATCCCACATCGGGCTCCCGGTGCATGGAGCCTGCTTCTCCCTCTGCCTATGTCTCTGCGCCTCTCTCTCTCTCTCTCTGTGACTATCATAAATAAATAAAAATTAAAAAAAAAAAAGCTATTCTTCTATCAGGCAGTTTTCATTGCCAGAATTCTAGAAGTGAAATTTGTTTCCCTGTATTTTCTGTCCTTGTTGTGGTTCTACTTTCTGGTCACTTCTATGCTCTCTAATACATAAAACATAATCAATGTTTTATGGTTCTTGTACCCAGATCCATATACTTTCTTTAGTACTTTAATACATAACACATGTGGACTTGACTTGCTTTAAGATGGATAAGTATATCACATTTCTTTATTTATTTCAAATGTTACTCCCTTTTCATATAGTCTTGAGAGTATGAAGACCCTGGCTGGAGAAGAATATAAAACTAGAACAGAATAATCACATCTTTTATGAGCCAATGTTGTACAATTTTCTATAAGCAGCAGGTGTACTCATTCTTGCTGTTGTCCTTTTCTAAAATAGAACTTCGGGAATTCTTTATTGGTATCATGGATATATTTGAGACTTTGCTTATTTGAGATGTAAGCAGACACTACACCTAAAGGCTGTATTACAACTTTGTAGTTCTTCTTAATCACCTTCATTTTTGCTGTTCTGTAAAAATCTAAACAAATGAATCCCCACTAGTTTCCTAGGGTGTTTTCCTTACCCCGTTCCCCAACTGGGGATTATTCATAACTATAATCAAATTTAAAATCTTAGAATCTTGGGCACCTGGGTGGCTCAATGGTTGAGCATCTGCCTTTGGCTCAGGTTGTGATCCTGGGGTCTTGGGATTGAGTCTCACATTGGGCTCCCCGCAGGAAGTCTGCTTCTCCCTCTGCCTATGTCTCTGCCTCTCTCTGGGTGTCTCTCAAGAATAAATAAATAAAATCTTTAAAAGATACCTTAGGATATTTTTACTCTTTGTGTACCACATTCCAGTCAATGAGATATACCTAAGGTGAAGAAATGTTTTTAAACCGAACTTCTTAAAATCCATCAAAAAGAAAGCAGATCTGAGTTGGTCCCTTTCTTTTTTTCCAGTCATCAGCACTGTCCTAAATTCCTGCCTATGAGATGCTTTAGATCTGTGTTTGGCAAGAGGGAAGGGGGAATGAAAGGATATGACCAACAACTAAACAGCTGATACCAATCTAGCAAGGAAAGTATATTATGAACACCATGTTATGAATCTGATGTATTCTGGATAGTTATCCTTTGTCAGTTTCACAGAGTTGCAAATATCTTCCCTGAGTCTATCTATCGTTTGTCTTTTAATCTTGTTTATGGTATCTTTTATCTACTAAGTTTTAAATTTTAAGGCAAACATCAACCGCTTCCCTTATGCCCCTTTTTAAAGGGCCACAGTAATCTTCTCATATTCACATTTAGATCATCAAAATATCTAGAATTTATTTTTGTGTATAGTATGAGATAAGGAATCTAATTTTTTTTCCTCTGATGGACAGCCAAATGTACTAGTATTTATTATACATGCCATTCTTTCTCCACTGATGTCACCTCTGTACCTTAAGTCTTTATATATGTCTGGGTGTGTCTCTGGGTTCTCTATTATGTTTCAAATGGTCGAATTGTCTAGCCTATGCCAATTCCACATTGTTTTAATTTCTAAGGCTTGGTTTTAAATTTTGGTATCTGATAAGGCAAGTTCATCCTCATTATTCTTTAATATTGTATTCATGCTTCTAAAATAAAGTTAGCATTTATTTGTTAAATTTCATGTTGAGATTCTGATTGGAATTCTACTGAATTTAATTATTTTCAGAACAATTGACATCTTTATGAAAAATCTTTCCATTCACTGGTATCTTTACTTGGATCTTTTTTTTGACTTTCAATTATGATTTATAATTTTCTAAGTCTTATAAATTGAGATAACATATTTTGAAATTATATTTCCTAATTGGTTGTTGTTCGTGAAAAGGATTGTTATTAAATTTTATTTCTTATTTTTTCCCCTAGAAACACTGCTGAACTTCTCTATTGATTCTAAGTTCCCTATAGATATTCTTGGATTTTCTACATAAGCATTTGTATTGTCTATATACGATTATTTTGTCATGTTTGCTTACTGTATTTAAAAATCACTTAATTTTTAGTGTGCCAATGATATATTTAAACTTTAATTCCTTTATCAGGTATTGTTATTGCCAGCCCACAGCCATTTACCCTCTTCTTTTTCCTCAATGACAGAATAGGATTTTGTTCAGCTGATTGTCCCAAAGTACACATCTCAAGGGGTAACATATGTACTCTAAGCCAATCCTTGCTAGCAGTTGGTTAAAGGTGTATGTATGATTCTGTTCTGACTAGCCAGATGTGTGAAATTAAAAAAAATTTTTTTGGTCCTTTTTCTTTTTTTGGAGCAGTAGGAAGTAGAGAAGGATAAGAACATGGAAACAGTTCCTTAGCTTTTGAAAAAAGATGCGTAGGAAAGAGTTTCCCCCTTTCCTGTGAGTTTTGTTTGCATGTGATATTTGTAATCATGAGACCCATTTTTCTAGCTGCCAAGGATTACAGAGTAAAAAGATAGAAAGAACCTAGGTCCCTGATAACATTCCGGAGCCTCTGAGGTAACCATACCTTGACCTCTCTGATTTCTATCTTCTCATTATCTGAATCAAAATACTTTTTAAAAATGGTTTTACTGGGGCACCTGGGTGGCTTAGTGGTTGAGCATCTGCTTTTGGCTCAGGGTGTGATGCCGGGGTCCTGGGATTAAGTCCCACATCAGGCTTCCCATAGGGGAGCCTGCTTCTCCCTCTGCTATGCCTCTGACTCTCTCTCTCTCTGTGTCTCTCATGAATAAAATCCTTAAAAAACAAAAATAAAAATAAAAATAACATAACATAAAATGGCTTTACTACTTTGAATGGATCTTTTTTCTTTCCTTGTGACTGAAAGCATCTTAACTGAAATACTGACTGACATAAGCCTTGGCCAGACCTTCTCACAGAGTGCCTTTAATTGAACACACACAGAAGACTCCAAGCATCTCTGCAAAGCAAGAGCAACTGTGGACTGAGGGCCCCACTGTTAGAAGAACTTACAGTCTAGCACCCAAAAAGTAGGTCCGGACAATGAGACTCTGTCTTACATGGCAGTGTAAGTTGTTTTGTGTACTGACATATTTGGAGGCTTAAACTTTTGTGTTAGTGTGCCTCAAATTTTGTATTTATCTGACTTGATGGATATTTCAATGTTGGGCTACTAAGGCCACCAAGCTTGGACATGCCTCCATAATATTTACAGGTAGCAACAGGGAACCACACTTACCTATTTGCATCCTTGTTACATGTGTATCCTTTGCATTGCTCCTCTGCTTATCAGCTACTTTAGGAAGAAATCAAAGTAAAAGCAATTTTTTCTCAAACTATGTGTGAATGATTATTTCACCCATTCACAAATCTGACCTAGACTGTTGATCTGGCCTTGCTCAATAAGTATTTACTGACTCTATCCTGTAAAATGAGAAAATCAACACACCTAGGTTTTCTTTTACTTTTTAGGTTAGCCCTTAATCACTTAGGACTTGCACTGTTATTGAATTTCTCAGGTGTGTATGTTTGGAATACTACAAGCTGACTGTAAATTCTAAGAGTTGCCTGTATGTTTTATGCTTTGTATGGTACTTAGTATAGTCTCCCTCAATATGTTTTGTGAACACTATGTTTTGTGAACTAGAAGAATTTCTTATTCTTGTGCTCTCTACTGAGAATAATGAATCCCAAGTTATAACGAGTAGTTTACCTTCAACTAATACTCATATTACTATTTCCTTTCTTTGTTTCTCTTTTCTTCCTTCTCTTCCCCTAATTCCTTTCTGAGTTTTTTATTCCACCCCAGCATTTTAGAAATTATTCCTTTCTCTGTTATTCTACCATTAACAATTTTTTCCTATCTTATCTCTCCTTTTCATCTTCTTTTTAAGTGGAATAGAAACTCATTTTATATTATTTATTGAATATAATTTCATAATAATAGGTAGTATTTATTAAGTGTTACTGCATGCCTGGAAGTGCACTAGGATCTTTATATGTCCTATCTTATTCCACACATCACCCCTGAGGTAGAGGAATTATTTATTGAGCTTCTTTTATGGATATGATCAGAAATCAGAGGCTTTAAAAGGGTAAATAATCTGACTGTGAAACCACATAAGGTAAGGTTAGAACTAGGACTTGAAACCAGAGCTCTTGTAATGTTATATATATTGTCTTTCTAATATAATTTTGTTCTTTCTCTTTTTTCCTGAATTTGTAACTCTCTATGAAATTGCTTTAAATACTTTATTTTTTTTAAAGATTTTTTATTTACTTGTTCATGAGAGACACAGAGAGAGTCAGCAACATAGGCAGAGGGAGGAGCAGGTTTCCTGCCAGGAGTCTGATGCAGGACTCCATCCCAGGACCCTGGGATCACAACCTGAGCCAAAGGCAGATGCTCAACCACTGAGCCACCCAGGTGCCCCCTGCAGAGATAATACTTTTAATCATTCGTTTTTTTGGTTCTTGATGCTTATTTCTGTATTTGCTGCATATAAATCTTAAATATTTGTGCCATCATACCCACTCATTACCTGTCATGAGAGAGATTTAACTCACTCAACTCCCTAGGACCCCCAAACTATCCTTTCCTCCATTCTCCTAATATAATATCACTAAGCATCAATCACTCCAACTTCAAACAACACAAATTTCATTTTCTGTTACAAAAATTGTAACAGTATCTCCTGATGCTCTACTTTATAAATTAAGCTATATATTTCTCTTTATTAATTTAATAATAATATGATATTCATCCTAAATATTTTTTATCTCAAAAAACAAAATTAAAATGCTTTTAAATTTTGAGTCTCAAGGTACTTTGTTATGAGCTAGCTGTCTTTAACTGAATGAAAGTCTCCCTTTAGGGACGCCTGGGTAGCTCAGCAGTTGAGCGTGTGCCTTCGGCTTGGGTCGTGATCCTGGGAACCAGGATCGAGCCCCATATTGGGCTCCCTATGAGGATCCTGCTTCTCCCTCTGCCTGTGTCTCTGCCTCTCTCTCAGTCTGTGCTCCTCACGAATGAATAAATAAATCTTTTTAAAGAAAGAAAGAAAGAAAGAAAGAAAGAAAGAAAGAAAGAAAGAAAGAAAGAAAGAAAGAAAGAAAGAAGAAAGAAAGAAAGAAAAAAAAAAAAAAGAAGGAAAGAAAGAAAGTCTCCTTTATCTTATCCTAGCAGACCAAGGATGATTTGAGTCTTTCATAAAGGTTGTGGGACTTGTTCCTCTTGACACCTTTATTCTAGCCAGTGGGCTGTGGTTAGCCCTGTGAGAGTTAGCACAGGTCTTTACAAATGCCACCTGCTAACCTGGAGGACTTACCTGCTGTTGCCCCTGCAAGCGCTGCTGAAGCTGAAGCCGCAGCTGGTTGGGTGCGGCTGGAGGTCTGTTCAGAGTCTGCCGGGGCTGCATGCCCATGCCAGGTGAAAAAGCGCCTCGGGGAGGTGTCACTTGGACAGGCATAGTCCCCAGTGAAGGTTTTTGCCTGACCATGCCTTGGAAAGGGCTAGAGAGATTGGCAGTAGGTGAAGGAGAAGAATAAGGCTGGGAATAAAGGTTGGGTCTTTCTTCCATCATTAAAGGTGGTGTTGCTTGTTGTGGTGGAAATCTCTCTGATAAGACATCTAATCCACCTCCCTGTTGGGAAATAAGCCAGAATATTTTACAAATAAATTATTGCCAATAAATGACATGCTTCTTATAATCTTGGATCTGAGAACATGTTATCTCTAGAACATTTTATATAAAATACTATGCTGAATTAATGAAGTTCTTTAGGAGTTTGCTACCTAAAGGAATCACTTATGAAAGTTACTTCTGAAATGGAGCAACAGATGAATGGAGATGTCTAAAAAAAAAATCTCAAAACAGAGATTAAAAACATGGTTAAAATACCGGCTAAAAGGTTTGAAAAGAACCACATTGCAAAGCCTAAGAGTCAACAAACTTTATATTTAGTTGTTTACCATGAGAAGTAGATTATCAAAGGGGCGATTAGTTAGGCATTTTTCTATCTCAAATACAGAATTCATGCTGTTCTCTTATTTGAAAAAAATTCATAGCTGGCCTAATAGAATGCCATAGCTATGGCTTTCAAAATTGTTAACTATCATTCATTGTAAAAAAAAAAATCTAATTTAAATTGTGACCTAGTATGTTTGTGTGTGTTTGTGTGTACATGTATGTATGTAACAGAAAGGAGAGTTTTATGAAACATAACTTCCCCTTTCTGTGGGCTATGTATTCTGATACCTTTTAGTCTGCTACTTAAAAAAACGTTGGTCATGAGGCACTAAATTGATTTTTCAACCTCACAGCGTGAAAAATACCTGGAAGTCGGGGCATTATGGAATATACAGGTTGAAGTCTAGCATGTATGAAGGATAAATTAAGTCCTAGAATAAGAAGTGATGATATAAATCTGGATTCTATTCTAGGGGGAGCCGCTAAGATTCTGGTCCATAGGAAAGGCTAAGACTTTCTAATTCTAACTATTTCTAATTATAATGACCTTTTTTTTTTGTTGTTTAAAAAACAAATTATTTGCTATATTTTGATAACTTTCACAAGAATAAATTATAAAACTACTTAAACACACATAGAACAATATTTAAAAATCTTGTTTAAAAATAATTTTCTAGCCTCTCAGGATTGAATCATTTAAACAATGCCAATTTTAATAAATACCTGGACGAGTTTGTCAATTCCCAGAGCTCTATCTAGTTCAGCTAGTTCAGTTTCATCTTTGCCGCTGAGAAAGGACACTAGCTGTTCAAGAAGAGCCTTCTCGTCATTTCTTCCTTCTACCGTTGTTGGTGGACAGAGGAGCTCATCTAATTGTGAACTAATACACTGGCTATAGAATCAAAAGATAACAGAGTTTAAGACTGATATAGCAAATAAGTATTCAATCTCAATAATACAAAATATACATATATGTATATATATGATACACACATATATGCAAATTTTGTTCTAAAAAATTCTCTGATGAGATTTTTTTTAATCAGTTCTTACACAATGAAATGTTCCATATTATGTGCAGAAATTTATAAATGTTCTGCATGTAACTAGAATATATTCTCACTACTTTGTCAATCACTGAAATTTGCTTCCATATTCTTCCTGTTTGCTTACAGAGATAGCTTGAAAAATTAAATATAGTTAAGAAAGGGAAAAGAATTCTTGATGAAAGTCAAAAATAGGGCAGCCCGGGTGGCTCAGCAGTTTAGTGCCACGTTCAGCCAGAGCCTGATCCTGGAGTCCCGGGATCGAGTTCCACGTCGGGCTCCCTGCATGGAGCCTGCTTCTCCCTCTGCCTGTGTCTCTGCCCACCCCCTCTGTCTCATGAATAAATAAAATCTTAAAAAAAAAAAAGTCAAAAATAAAGCTCAGTCAAAATCTCAAGGAAAAAAATCACCTAGCCTATAGTAAGATTTATTCTATTTATACGTCACTTTCAAAGATGATCAAATTGTACTGATAACATACATCTGATTGCCATTTACAAAAGAAATCAAACTAGGAAAATTAAACATGCTCAGCATTAAGCAACAAAAAAATTGTTGATTACATAGAGGAAATAGTTAATCCAAACTGATACCAACTGATGCATATAACTTAGAAATATATAGAAAATAATAATAATTCAAATTTAGTTATATAATTATAAGGCTTCTTCTTTGGGGAAAGTAAGTGGGAATAGTGTGCATAGTTAAAGCTCGAAACGACACTCGATACTATCTAGTTTGGTTGCTATACATGCGATGTCTCTAATGTTTTGGAATGGGGCTACTTATGTCCTTTAAGAAATTAAATTCTAATCAAGATGAGACACTGAGTAGATGTAAAAAGTACCTTCCCTTCTTATACCATTTTGCTCCAAAGACAAAATACTGAACAAAAATTATAGAACTAAAAGCTCAAGAGCTTTTATAATAATTGTTATACTGAGCTCAATTCATCTACATGTCTCAGAAATTTTATAGTAATCAATCACAGTAAAACAAGAGATGAAAAATAAAACCGCCACACACTATATCAATCTTTTGGTAATTACAATACATACTAGCCTTGCAGTCACACAGTAAATAAATCTGTTTAACTTGGGTGTCTTCCTCCATTCCACCTTTTTTTCATTTAACATTTGCTTCCACTCCTATATCACAAAATACCAATGTAGGTTGGAATTCAGTTTATGAAAATAGTTCTTTGTTGTAGAAGTTAGTATCTGATATTTTATAAAATAGGAAATGTATTACTCACTCTTCTGGTTTATTCTGATTTACAGCAGTCACTGTATTATTTGCCCATGGAATCTGATCACCTGTTCCTGGCTGTCCAAATTGATTGTCAATTGCTTCTAATTCCAGCTCTGGTAACCCTGATTACAGAAGAAAAGGTAAGGCATCAGTATCACAATGGAAGATAAAATGACAGTATTTTACAGAAGTAATATACTGTATGGGAGAATGAAATTTCCCCTATAAAATGTTACAAAGGTCCCTTATCCAGAAACTTAAACTGCCTAGAACGTGGCCACATAATAACCAGTGAGAAAGTAAGGAAACGGTCTCTGAATCAAAGACAATCTGATGTAAAAAAAAGTTTGCACATAAGTTGATGTTACCATAGGGAGAATCATTTGGAACTTTGTCAGAAATTATTTCTTTTAAAGATAATTATAACAATTTTGGTTAGCTGCTTTTTCAATCTATAGGACATTAGAATCTGCTATAGTTAGGAACAATGTTATCATGACACAAGAGTGGCAAACAGAAGATAAAATATGTTCTATAATAGTAACAGAAACTAAAGGGCACAGCAGTCTGGGGTCATTCTGAAAATGGACAAAGTTCTGCAGCTGTCAAAGTGAGAACACAGCTGTATAACAATCAATGCTTCTGATGATGACCCATAAAGAGAGAGGTTGTTATGCTTTATAATGAAAGAAAACAGTATATGCATTTTAGAAGGTTTTTGCTTAGTTTTTTTTTTTTTTAAATCTGATTATTTCTGTACTGTTTAGGAAAAATTGTAAATAATCTAAATTCCAGAAATTTAGGTACTGATTAATGAACCATGGTATAGATATTTAAAATGTACCATTAAATGAAGAAGAAAAAACCCATAAACCAAGACATTATGTTCAGAATGATTCTAGTTTTATAAATTATTCTGTGTATATTAGCAGTAATTCTGAAAGAGTGTATATATCTTTGGTTGATTTTAGGTTGTAAGATTAAGGACTTTTCTTTTTTTGACATTTCTTTTAATGCCTCTAATGGTTATCTGTAATTTCTGAAAAGGATATAAATAAGTTAATTGTTGTTAGGGTTGCATTGTATTTCCCCAAAATTCATTGTTGAAGCTCTAACTCCTAGTAGCTAAGAATGTTACTGTATTTGGAGACAGGGTCTTTAGAGATGTGATAAAGTTAAAATAGGGCCATTAGGGTGGGTTCTAATTCAACAAGACTGGTATTCTTATAAGAACAGGAGATTAGGATATGACAACATATATAGAGGGATGAACATGAGGCCACGGCAAGGAGGCAGACTCCACAAGCCCATAAAAGGCCTTAGAAGAAACCAAACCCCTTCACCTTGGACTTCTTGCTTCCAGAACTATGAGAAAATTAATTTCAGTTGTTTAAGCCACCTGGTCTGTGGTATGTTATTATGGCAGTCCTAGCAAACTAATACTTTTTAAAAAACAACTAAAAATGCCTTGGGGTTTTCTCTTTTCTTTCCTTTCCTTTCTTTCTCTTTCTCTCTCTCTTTCTTTTTTCTGAAAGAGAGAGAGAGCACGCACAAGCAAGTGCAGGGGTCAGAGGAGAGGGAGAGAGAGACTCTCCACACCCACCAAAGAGCCTGACATGGAGCTCAATCTCATGACCCTGACATCATGACCTGAGCTAAAACAAAGAGTAGGATACTTAACCAACTTAGCCACCCAGGCACCCGCCTTGAAATTTTAATAGAAAACATAATTAAGTAGAATTTCTCATTCCAATGAATAGAGAATAAGTAGATTTAAGAATGCCTAAAAAAATGTGTTTAATGGTAGATACTGATCATTATTAACTACAAAAAGTATGTTAGGCTTACTTTTATGTGAAATATACTCAACACTTAGTATGAATTAAGTATAGAAGTCCAAGTAAATACATTCATTTCTATAATCATCATTTCTAAATGCAAAAAATTATAGCTCTCAAACTTATCTTCTCTGTCATGAAAAATGATAGGAAACAAAATTCTGTAGAATTCTGAAAAACAAAGCAAATTAAACCCACCAAACATCAACCACAAATGATAATGGGAAGTAACCACTTAATTCCTATCACCATTTAAATCAAGAAGTTAGTCAAAGATTATCTACAGTTGACCCATTGCTCTATTCCATACATTAATTCCTCAATCCTATTGTTTCAGAAATCTAATCTAGACAAAATTAATTCTATTTAAGAATCAAAGAAAATTTACAAGGCTGTCTACCATAAGTACTGAATATTATAAGATAATCTATTTGACTCAGTAATAGGAGATGGGGTCTTGATGGGGAAGATGTTAAGAAAATAAGTTGGATGAAATTTCTCAAAATGAGATAAGATTTTTTTTTAAATTTTTAAATTATTATTTATTTATGATAGTCCTCAACAGAGAGAGAGAGAGAGAGAGAGAGAGAGAGAGAGGCAGAGACACAGGCAGAGGGAGAGGCAGGCTCCATGCATCGGGAGCCCGACGTGGGACTCGATCCCGGGTCTCCAGGATCGCGTCCTGGGCCAAAGGCAGGCGCCAAACCGCTGTGCCACCCAGGGATCCCCTCAAAATGAGATAAGATTTATCTGCTAAGTTTGATGACTAGGAAAGAAACAAACCCAAACAAATCAAACTTTGATTCAAGTAAAACTTTTGTTTGCACAGGCTTTATAATAAAAAGAAGTTAGTTTTTATTCTAAAAGTCACCTCAACCTTTTAGGATTTCCTTTAGAAATTTCTATAAAAATTTGAAGCACTTACTGGAATGTTTTAAGAAATATATGTTCTCTTCTCCTAGTCTGGGAATAAACCTACTATTTTTGGTCATGTTTGTGCCCTATCAAACATGAGTAAGTGTGTATGTAACACAAAACAAGTACAACAATTTGTAAATGGAAACATGGACACATCTCCTAGTCCCTGGGTTGGGTAGGTGCAGATGAAATGGAGGTAGAAAACAAGCCCTTAGGGATTCCTCATCAAGCTAGTAATCTTCCTTATCATTTTTGCAAAGGTTTCAACATAATATTTTCTCCATTTAAAATAGGGGTTCTTGAGCGGTACAGTCTGGTTGAGCATCTGACTCTTGATTTCACCTCAGGTATGATCTCAGGGTTGTGAGAGTTCAAGCCCCCTATGAGGCTCCACATTCAGCACAGAGTCTGCTTGAGTTTTTCTCTCCCTTTCCTCTGCCCCTCCTGCTGCTCACGCTCTTTCTTTCTAAAATAAATAAATAAATCTTTTAAATCTAGTAAAAAGGAAAATTATCCCCATTAGCCACAAAAAAGTTACATTACTAAAAAATTTAACCTCTTATAAATCATATGATAAAAATAGAAAAACCCAATAGATAAATGGTTAGAGAATATGAACAGGTAAGTCACATGCAATCACTGAAAAATGATCTACCTAATTTACAATAAAAATAAACAGATTAAAACTACACTAGGATACTTTAAAAAATCAAACCATTGAGTTGGCAAAGATAAGGAAGTGTATAATTCAATGTCTTAGAAAGGCTGTATAGAAAGAACATTATCAGTTAGAGTGTAAACTGGCATTGTATCTAAGAAGGGTGATTTGGCAAAATCTATCTTTTGATCAAGCAATTCTATTTATAACATCTATTTCATATATACTCTCATTAGTGGTAAATTATCTCTATGTAAGATTATTCATTACAGCTCTGTAATAGCAAAAGATACCTACCAAGAAGCACAACACACTAAAAAGAGGGAAATTAAAATGGATTTTTTAAGTACTGAAAATGCTTTATCTGAAACTCATTATCTTTAGTGTTATGCAATTATTTCAATATACTATAAATTAATGAGATTTAAAAAATAATCATCTCAGAATGTTTACCAAACATAAAATCATCCATGTCACAAGATCACTCACTTACTCTAATGAAACTGTCAATGTTCAAATATTTTTGGAATTCTTCTGGATCTATCTAAAATAGTATAAAGGTCCTTAAAGAAAATATATCTCCTTAAAGTTAGATCCAATTTTGGTTTGGGCTTAAAAAAAAATATTATTCTTTTTGGATCAACAAATTTGGCTCCAAATAACTCCAGAAAATTTCAGAAGTCAAATTCACCCTCAGAGGCTAGGGATCTAAAGACGGTCAAAAGGACATAGGAGAAGTTTTGAAGGTACTGCCAAAGAGGCTCATTGTACATATTTTGATCAACAATACTGTCTTAAGCTGTCTCTTGATGTGTTCTGGTAGTACATTTCTAACAAAATTACTTAAATCACTTGGTCACACTGCATGGGTATGTGGTGTACATATCAACCGGATGTTTTGAAACCAGGCGGGCTGATACTTAAGTCCTGATTCTAATAAGAAACAGCACAGAGGATCATAGGGTAAGGGAGGGAAAACTGAATGGGAAGTCATCAGAGAGGGGGACAAAAACACGAGAGACTCTTAACTATAGGGTATCCCTGGGTGGCTCAGCGGTTTTTGGCGCCAGCCTTTGGCCCAGGGCGCGATCCTGGAGACCCGGGATCAAGTCCTGTGTCGGGCTCCCTGCGTGAGCCTGCTTCTTCCTCTGCCTGTGTCTCTGCCTCTCTCTCTCTCTGTGTCTATCATGAATAAATAAATAAAATCTTAAAAAAAAAAAAGGAAACAAACTGAGTTGATGGAGGGGATATGATAATTCGGTGATGGGCATAAGGAGGGCATGTGATGTGATGAGCACTGGGTGTTATATGCAACTGATAAATCATTAACACTACATCTGAAACTAAGTATATACTTTATGTTGCCTAATTGAATTTAAATAAAAAATAAATAAATCCTGAATCTGCATGTACTAAATAGAAAACCAGGCAAGTTTTTGTCTGTGTGTATTTTTTTTCTTTTCATTCTCTGGACCTTTATTTTCTTGTATGTAAATAGACCTAAGGAAATTTTCTGGTTCAATGTGGCAGATTTATATCCCTTCTATTTTATTTTCCCTCCAAAATTATCTCTGAAATAAAAGAAATAAAAAAGGAAAATAAGTCTCTAGCTGGAGGAAAGGCAAGAGAAATATTATGGCAGCTGAACTCAACTGATAAGAGTTTCTGAAAGCTAAAACCGAGGAAACAAATGGTAAAACTTCAATGA